GAATTATCGACATTATTGCTTCATTTAGTGAAAAAGAAGGCTGAAAAGTTGCCCTTTTCTGAACTTTGAAGGGCCGTAACTTTTTAAATAAGGGAGAGCACCGCTTTTTTCTTTCGGATTCGTAATCTAAGTACAGTCAAAAATTTTTTCAAAATCGCCGGGTGTCCACGAAAATTTACCTTATATCCATAAAAAAAATCAAATTTCACAATGTGACGTTTATCTGGTGACATTTTACACCATTCGGATATATCCGTCAAAGTTCGATGTATGGCGTTTTCTGATTGGTCGGAGGTAAGAACGCAACGCAGAAAGTTGAAAATAGCCAATTCGTTACCTTGCATTACCTTGCCTTACCGACGTTACCTTACCATACTTTTTATCTAGAACGCAAGTGTGTTTTCTCAATATTTCAACTTTCTCACTTTACCTTACCTCGATACCTTGCGTTTTTATAAACTAGGGCTTGAATGTTCCAGACTATCAAGGTTGCAAGTGATCGTGTCTCCAATTAGGCGAATGACTCTTTCTGGATGGAATCCAGCAGCTTTCGGCATATGCTTAGGGGCAGAGCTCTATGCATGTGAACAATACTCCAAAGAAGGTTTGATCTGAGCTTTATAATCCATCAAAAGTTACTGAGATGTGTACAGCTTTCTGGTTCTTAACAGTGTTCCAAGCTTTTGAGAAGCAGCCTTTGCAATTCAAGCGACATGATAGTGCCAAGACATATTGGTGTCCATTTTAACCTCCAACGAACTTATCGAAGCAGAAAGTGGAATTGTCTGTTCTGACATTATTATATTCGGTTCGGAGACATTAATTTTTTTTGTTGAAAACCATGCCTGGGTTTTTGTGGCATTGAATGGAATCTGGTTACTTTCACCTCAATTCGAAATCACTTCTAGATCCTCTTTAAGATATTGAACCTCCTGATGAGACAAGTGTGCTGTCGTAAGCAAAGCAATATATTAGATTCTTGGTCGACAATCGAACGTACGAAGCTGCCAAATTTGAAAATTCACCTTATTTTCTTAACAGACCTTCTATGGTTTTTTAAAGATTCAGCTCAGTCTAATCATACATTTTCCTAAAATTTCCTCAGACATTACCAACCTGCCATTTCATTATTGAAAACAACCCAATCATTTTCATCGGCAATATTTTCAATCACTTGCTTTTCCATTGGGCAGGACAGCCAGTGATCAGGCGTAGTAATGTTGAAATGCAAATTTTGCCTAGTCGAATAACTCAGAGGTACCCACCAACAGGAATTTTTGGAGTCCCTTGAATCGATGATATCCCTCAAGTATCTCCGCTAAAAGAAAAAAAATTCAAAATGATGTCTTAGTTTCGAAAAAATCAGACTATTTTTTTCTCACACAACAGAATTTTATACAATTTACGAAGCTATTCTTGATCTATTCTGTTTAAAATCTTGTTTTTCCGTTAATCAGCTGTCACCACCATACGAACGACAACTCTCAGAAGTTGAGAACCTTGTGCGAGCTAAGGACTAACGAGGTCTTACCTTTTAACGTGTGATTCATAACATATCAAATGATATCAGTTTCGAAAAAATCATACTCTTTTCTCACACAACAAAATTTTACACAAATTTACGAAGCTATTCTCAACCTATTGTATCATAACATATCAAATGATGTCTTACTTTCGAAAAAATTCGAAAAAGTTTATGGTCTTATGGGATGTGCGTGGTGTAATATCCATCGACCATCTTGAGAAGAAATAATGAGTGATTTTTTTGCTGGGATATTTTTGGCAACACTGTTTTTGACAGATCACGCGTGAATCGTGTCTTGTGTTATTGTCAAACTTGTTCAGTTTGGTCTATAATTCAACCATGAATCGACTTACGAACGAACAACGCTTGCAAATTATTGAATTTTTATTATCAAAATTCATGCTCGGTGAAGAAAGTGCATACTGCACTTCTTCCAATTTATGGGCAGTTTCGTCGGCCTACTGAGGGAGCTATTCGGAAGCTTGTAACTAAATTTCGAACCCAGTTTACATTATTGGACATCAAACCACCAACACGCATACGAAGAGTGAGGACCGAAGAAAATATTGCGGCTGTATCCGCCAGTGTTCGTAATGACCGTGAAATGTCGATTCGCCGCCGTTCGCAGCAATTGGGCCTCTGTTACTCCACTACGTGGAAATTTGGCAAAAGGATTTGGGTATAAAACCTCATAAACCTCCCACAACGTCTAACATTTGGTGAATGGGCGCTGGCAAAGTTGGAAGAAGATCCACATTTTTATCGAAAAATTGTGTTCAGCGACGAGGCTCATTTCTGGTTGAATGGATACGTTAACTAACAAAATTGCCGCATCTATGAAGACCAGCCACAAGCAATGCAAGAGCTACCGAAGCATCCCAAAAAAGTCACTGTTTGGTGTGGATTATGGGTCGGTGGCATCATCTGGCCGTACTTCTTCAAAGACGACAATGGCCGGAACGTTACTGTGAATGGCGAGCGCTACCTTGTGAGGATTGACGACTTCTTCTTGGTTTCAACAAGACGGTGCCACATGCCACACGGCACGCGAAACAATGGCCCAATTAAGAGCCGCCTTTGGTGAACCGTTTATCACACGTTTGGGGCCCAGATCGTGTGATTTAACGCCTTTGGATTATTTCTTGTGGGATCATGTTAAAGCTTATGTCTACAGGGATAAACCAGTAACGACTGACGCGCTGGAAGGCAATATTGAAGAATTTATACGTGAAATTCCGGTCGATATGTTAGAGAGANATTGGATATTGCACGTGTTTGAAATGAATTGACACATATGTACTTATAATAGGTATTCGTGATATTAATATATTTTCACCTCGGAACTTGCCGTTCAAAATGCTGGCTTCTTAGACGTTTTATATTCATTTTCAAAGACTAATCGCGTTCTGTTGCACAGCCGTGGTGGATTCAAATTACGGAGCGATCCATTCCTCAACTGTAAATTATGCGGTGGCAGAGTTCCAAATCTCTGTTGGATAATTAATAGCATCGGTGGCATCGCAAACTGTATCTACTGTCGATGGATAAACAATAATAGTGGTGTAGGGAACTGTGTAGGGAATGAGAGAAGGCTCATTGTGTGAGAGACACAGGAGACCGGCTTCGTTCTCATCCCTACTTGGTACTGTTTACTGAGTGGGAAGTGATACCGGTAGACGCCTGGCGGGAATAACTGTTGAAAATGATTAAATTACTAAAATAGCTTTTAAAAAATAGGGGTCGGTTACAGAACAGTAAAAATTAGGGGTTATATGTATTTTTAATGTCGCATCATAAATAAATTAAAACAAAACATTTTGTCCAAAAATATGTTTGGAATATGGCACCCTTGTCACTAGGAGGTATGAAAAATGGATTCGGTCAAGCCGTTTTCGAGGAGTATGGCAACCAACACAGCGACACGATAACTTTTATATATCGATTATATATTCATGCAGTCAATATTTCATAAAAGGAAACGTCAAACATAAAATCGTTTTATAATCAATTACAGTAAATTTTCGTGAGGTGAAAAACAGTGCTTTTCCGTAATTACAAATTTTTCGAGTTTTGTAGTATTTCGGACACTCAGTTAAAAAGTAGGTGAATCCTAAACGTGAACCTATCTTTATTTCACTACTACACTGCCAATAAAACACACAAAAACTTCAACTGAACTCCAGACTAATACTCAAATGGCTATCGCCTCATTAGCTCACTTCGTACTGCACTTTCAACTAGACTTTACATATCTGTCTGTTGGTAGGGCTTATATATCTCAATGGAAGTCTTAGAAACTCGGTAAATCTATTCTCCCCGCGATGCGATACCTAAAACAATCTAGAAGCACAAGTAGTGTCGAGCGTGATCTTGCCCAAGTCACAGTCAATTGACAAAAACCAGCGGCGGCGGACGCAATTTTTTTCAGGGGATAATTTACAACACTATTATAGTTCCAAGTAATAGGAATTTGCTATTCTTTTATGAATATTGGAAACAAGTAAACTTCAATTCCGCTGGGGAGTACAATTTATTGTTATTGATTGACTTTATTTTACCTGATTTAGAGCATCTTTCCTGGCCCAAACTCTGAAAGTGACATTGTTATTTTCGGCAGTATCCGCTGTTTTATGATGAAAGTCTGATACGATGTACGCCACTAAATAAGTTGACATCGGAACTGACCGATCGAATCTGTCCCAGAACCACCCTTCTTTTTCTTTCCTGAAAATAAATATTCGGTTTATATTAATGCATGAAATACTGGATACTTTTTGTGATACAATTGTTCACTTCAGTTTTTTATTACCCGAAATTAACCATTTATAAATTGTTTTCTCTTCACCAAGATAGGATTTTGAAAAATCAATTTCATATTCTATATACAGTTTCTGTATCATTTAACAATATTTATTACTACTTTCACTGACATAAAGATATAATTTGGAGACATTGATTTTATATTCTATAGACAATATTTGGTTGTGAGCTGAAAATCAATAATTACTGAACACGAGTACCATTCTGTTGCTTTTTTCAATGAACTATCATAGAGCGTATCGATCTGAGTACCTATCGTGACGTCACATCATCGCCGATTCAATCATAGTATGAAAAAACCTGAAAAAGCAATTGTATAGCGAAACACGTGTTGAGGTTTTGTAAACCCAGCTTCTTAACGAAGCCGATTAGTTTGATGGTTGATGGTGAGTGGTCTTTCAGGTTAGATGGTAAGAGTACGTATCTGCCGAACTCTAAGAACCTGATTCGGTCCCCAACGGGGCAGGCACGAAGTATATGCTCTGCTGTTCCATCATTTTCCAAACAGAGACGACACACACTGTCTTCTGACAGTCCAAGTCTCTGCATATGATGATTCAAATGACAGTGACCAGTAAGAAAGCCTGCTAGACATCGTAGTTCATCCCTACTGTAGTCCAACAACTGTTTGGTATCAAGCTTCGAAGGGTGTGATTAGACGCCTTGGAGGGAGCCAATTCTGGAAGATTCTGCCAGAAGTCCATAAGTCTTCTTGCCATCCAGGTGTTCAATCTTTGTTTGGCAAAGCCTAAAGCGATGCCAATGACAGGTTCTGGTCCGATGAAGCTATTTGCAGCACCCTCCACTGCACCATCATTGCCTTCCAGGCCAGTATGGCCAGGAATCCAGATCAGAGACAATCTGTTAAGTCTTCCTATCGAGGAGAGTCGTTTTTGGCAGTTTGCTACCAATTTAGACGTTGCTCGGTAGCCAAGAGCGTCTAACGCCGCTTGACAGTCCGAGAATATGTTTATTGACTACACACAAGAGGTTGGATTCTTCAAATCTCTCCGCACACAATTCATTAGCGTAAATTTTCGCTTGAAATACAATCGCATAGGTTCCTAGGCAGGTTGATATCTCTGTCCTGGGTCTGCGACTGAAGACAGAACCGGTAGGTGTTTTTGATCCATCTGTGAACCAACAACATCTACCTAACTGGAAGTAGTTACATAACGAAAACGAGTGTGTTCTGAATCATCATTCAAGTTATTGAATTCGAATAAACAAACTACGTATTTATTATTAGTATTCCACGTATTGATGATATAGCAATGGGACCTTACACTGGGGTCAATAGAGGATACTGAAAAGGATTTAAAGAGTATAGTAAAAACAAGAACAATGATTACATAGAAAATCAGAGAAGAAAGAGCAGTTTGATCTTCCTCTTCCACAAGCAAAGAAGGGGTGTTGCCGAAACAACCAGAAGAATAAGAAATCAAAAGAAAAAACCAAAATGAAGAATCGAAAAGAAAAAATTAACCCCAGGCACATGGAATGAAAAAGTAAAGAAAAACACCAAGAGATAGTGAAGAAACAGTTATAGCAACAAAAGACTAAGTTTAGTCAAATAAGAAAAATCTACCAAGGCCACATTCGGGTGCAAAGTAAAAAGGAAAGTCTAATAAACCGAAACCGATCGTAACAAATAATAAACTTAGTAGAAATTAGACAAAGGTTATTTTCTTTATCCTATATTCAATATGAATTCATACCAAATAAATAGGTCATCAATCGAACAAGGTTGAAGACGAGTTGGAAAAAACCAACGTCATGGAAGAAATGAAAGAGGTCACTGAAGTAAACGAAAAATTGAATGAATAGGTGAACAAACTGAGGAACCAACTTGAGTATTCACTCATGGGCAAACCAACTAAACCTGTTTGGGCAAACCTTGGCCTGCTTGCACAAGAAAAACTCCAAAGCATCCACTATCCACGAAAGCCTGAACAATAGAGAAAACAGCCACTAGTTCCGGTACTCCAAAGTCAATTACTGTAAATACTGACTACAGAACTTTCTGGAAAGTAATCAGAACGCTCATCATAGGATCGTGGAAGCTCTAGAAATGTGAAGTGAATGATACTTGAGTAACTATACCCCAGCAAACAGCAGTGACCTTCATAAAAAAAATAAAGGAAATCAATTACAGAAGGTTCCCGATAATACAAGTTGCACTGCACTAAAGTTTAGTTGAGAAGGGAACCTTCATATGAACTATCTTTAAATTGAACGAGGCGGAAAACTAGAACACCTGCAGATAGACTGTGGAAAAGATCAAAGTCTCACTTTATACGAAGAAGGGATCCACGAAATAAAGAGGAAGGGAAGGATGCTTCTAGACAAAGCAAAAAGCAGTTATTTTTATTACATCGAATAGATGAGAAACGAAAAATCGCCAACATCTGAGAGAATATCTAGGATGCTCATTCCCGAGAGAGAACGCAGGACTTAGCTCAAAAATGAAGGCTGAACGCTAGGAGGTATGTGTTCTAACAATTAGCGTATACTATACTACTACTATACTTTGTAGATATGCAAAGTGATGTGCTTGTATTTCTCATCAGACGAAGTTTCCTCTGTTTATCGGCACTGTTAATAGCATTACCTGAATTTTTTCGTAATCGTATTGTGACAAACTCAAAACTCACAGTGGTTCAGTAATGACCAAAGGCATGTTGCTAATCGCCTTGTATCCATCCTTCCTGCCGATGCTAATATCGAAAGTTGCCTTCATTTCAGGTTCATCAAAGCAAGGGAAGGCCATCCTGGCACTGATAGCCTCGAACTGGGTAACACCCAGCCATACCTTCTCATGCTTCTTCTTATCGTAATAGCTGCTTCGGTAAAATCCTGCCAGACCATCGTCTGATTTTCCCCGGAACGAGATGAAAATTTCGTATTTGTGGTTTTTCTTCAGCAGCTCGTTCAAGTGGATTATGAGGAAGTCGTTGTCCTTTTCGAATTCTACTTGGGATATTTTCACTGCTTTGGAATCGTTGGTGGATGTGTCTTTCAAGGTGACCCCCCCGTCTTTTATTTCGAGATCCTTGGAGTGTAGGGTTATGTTTTGTGATGGGTGAACACATATGGCCTGCAAAAAAATCATAATTAGTTCTGGTAAAATCAAACGTGGGCAAGCAGCTTTGCATATGTATCGGACAGCCATTTTTTGAAAAACAAAAATTTGAAATAAACCTCTGGAGCAAACTTCTCAAAAGGCAATTCCGTATCTAATATGGGAATCTATAAGAGCAAAATAGCCTTTTCTTGACGACTATAAAATACCAAACATTTTCACAGCATACATAGCTCTGCTGTTCTTGACGACCACAAAATGCCAGATATTTTCACAGCAGACATGGCTCTGCTGTTCTTGACGGCTATAAAATGACAGACATTTTCACAGCAGACATAGCTCTGCTGTTCTTAAAGGCTACAAAATGCCAGACATTTTCACAGCAGACATAGCTCTGCTGCTCTTGACGGCTGTAAAGTGCCAGACATTTTCACAGCAGACACAGCTCTGCTATTCTTGACGGCTATGAAATGCCAGACATTTTCACAGCAGACATAGCTCTGCTGTTCATGACGACTACAAAATGCCAGGCATTTTCACGACAGACATAGCTCTGCCGTTCTTGACGGCTATAAAATGCCAGAAATTTTCACAGCGAACATACCTCTGCTGTTCTTGAGGGCTATAAAATGCCAGACATTTTCACAACAGACATAGGTCTGCAGTTCTTGTCGACTACAAAATGCCAGAAATTTTCACAGCGAACATAGATCTGCTGTTCTTGAGGGCTATAAAATGGCAGACATTTTCACAACAGACATAGGTCTGCTGTTCTTGACGGCTATAAAATACCAGACATTTTCACAGCAGACATAGCTCTGCTGTTCTTGACGGCTATAAAATGCCAGACATTCTCAAAGCAGACATAGCTCTGCTGTTCTTGACGGCTATGAAATGCCAAACATTTTCACAACAGACATAGCTCTGCTGTTCTTAACGGTTACAAAATGGCAGACATTTTCACAGCAGACATAGCTCTGCTGTTCTTGACGGCTATAAAATGCCAGACATTCTCAAAGCAGACATAGCTCTGCTGTTCTTGACGGCTATGAAATGCCAGACATTCTCAAAGCAGACATAGCTCTGCTGTTCTTGACGGCTATGAAATGCCAGACATTTTCACAGCAGACATAGTTCTCGCGGTTTTTCTCACGAAGAGAAACTTTGTTTCTTATTGATAAGGTCAAATTAGCTTCTTCAGTTAATCTTGCTTATAATGGTCGATGGGCAAATTTTGGACCTGGGTTGGTACAAGAAGTGATGAAAGAGCCTAATTGATAACCAAAGTTACAAATTCCTTGAAGCAGTAATTGATGATAACCTCAAATGGGAAGCATGTATCAACACTATCTGTAGTATGCTAAATATAGTTGTCTTGGTGAAGATGGAATTTTACTCTTCGTTAGTTTATTCGACTATAAAGTATAATATAGGTAGCACTCGCTCCCAACAGCAGCAGAGATGTTCTAGACAGAAAAGAATATTTCGCAGAAGTAACTTCAAACTAACAAAAGTTGCTTCACTGAAAATGTTCTATCCCACAAACTATTAGTCCAACAGCTGTGAAATTTGTACACGTAACTTTTAAAGGTTAGCGTTAACAAAAAATCAAATATATTTAATACTTATAGCGCCATCTGTACGTTAGCCTACGAGCTTATTGGCCCATCTAGTATCTAATATGTATAGTCTCCAGACAGAAATGTGTTTCAAACCTTTGTACTTCGTGGCGTATTTTCTTGTGTATTGTAGATTTTCAATTCATCTAACTGATGTGCATATCAGTTGTTTGGTTTTAGATCAATGAAATACCTATCAATCCATTTGCCCCGTATATCTATCTTGATTTCATCAAATTATATTAATATGCAAACGATTATCCTTATACAAAACTAATTAGGTTAACGATAATTGATCTCAATGCCACTGTTTCAATCAAAATGCAATTTCACAATGTATATAAACATATATTTGATTTTTACTGCTTTTGCGAGGATACCCACCCATAATTCAACGGTTGCTTGACCATATCAATATGTTTTCAGGGATTACTTATTGATAATTAATTATCAGCAACATAAAGTATAGACGACTTGAACTTGTTTGACAAAATGCTGTGCAATAGTAAATGGATAAAATGAAGTTTCATTATCAACGACCACTTGTAATCATGATATGAAATAATGTATACTGAGATGTGGGTAATTAGAAGAACAAGACGAAATAGATACGTCTTCGTAATTTTTCCAATGATTCAGTACATTTTGTTTCTAAGTCCCCACAAAAAAATCTGAAAAACTCAAGTCGGGTGGCCGAGAAGGCCGCTCAAAGCAGTCTTCATTCTCTATTTCCATCAACCTAATCTTTACAGGTAGAATTTGTGCTTTTTTGATGTATTCAATAGGCACTTGTATAACTCACTACCGTAGCAGTTGCCAATTTTCTTATATAGAGTGTACTACTCATTGCAATTTGTTTCAAGCTACAATGTAATATATTTATAAACCGATGGATGCTGGGATACGCTTTTGTATGGTTTATGCCAAAAACCGTACCTCCGTTCTTTCCAAAAAACTGCGAAAATAAGCAATTCGCCAGGTCTATCTCACTGCTAGAAACAACAATAGAGGGTCAAAGGACGTTGACATTCTTTGGTGAGCCCACCAATAACACCGCTCGTTTTTTTGACAAAAAAAGGAGTGGCTTGCCGGATTTATAATAATTTGAAACGATGAAGACAAAACTTTAGTGTCGGAAAATAAGTTGAATTGTTTAAAATTTTGTGTTGGTCAAACGGGGAGAACCTTTTTCCACAGCATAAAAGAACATAGGAGTAGTCTTTTGGATGTAAAGACTAATTTCACATTTGCAAATCATCTTTTGACAAAGGGGAATGAGCTCCACCACGACTATGAAGTATTACATTCGAAAGAGTTCGAAACTTGATATTTTGAAGTGTTTAGATCTGAAAATACTGGAAATTTACTGAATGACTAAATATAATTGAATTATTTCCTTCTGTTAAATCTTTTTTCTAACGTGTAAGTTTTGGTATTTGGTTTATTATATTCCATTTGACGAGTTGGTAAAAAATTTTTGTCATTATGTTTAAATTTTCAATTAATTTTTACCTGAACTTAGTATAATTATTCATCGAGTCAGTTATCCGATAAATCCGTTAATGGAAGCTATTGAAAACTATATAAATATTCACTGAAAGCATCACTAATGAAATAATCACAGAAAATGCAGATACAAATCTTGAGGCAGTTTCTGAGATCTTATGTTGTTCACCAAACCAAACGGTGTCGATTTCGACATAACAAAAACTTGAGTTGACAAAATAAGAAACATTTTGAAGACTCTGTATCCCAGGCGACTGTTTTTATCAACACTGAAAGGTTTCGGTATTTTATTTGTGTTATTGTAAAAAGAGTTCGCTAGATGGAAACGCTGTTTGAAAATTTTTGGTCAACAATTTCCCAAATTCGTGATTGGACATTCTTAGAAAATTACGAAACGATGATCTCAGTTCCACTCTCTTCCAGTATCTTAGTTTTTCGCCTTCTCCTTTTGTTTCTGTTCTTGAAAACGAAACTAGTCGCAAGCGAGTTCGTTTGATGAAAATCCGCCTCAATATAAGATTGAAATAACTGATATGATATTTTTCAAACCGTCAATCAATTCATGAGATAATTCTTCTATGAGCCTTGTGCTAATCAGTGGATGGATCCCGAATATTCTGTATTATCCTGTTTCTTAAAACAAGAGTACAAATACACGCAGTTTCGTTAAAATATTACTTTTTTTAACAGTGTCCAGTTCAGAGACCACATAGGTATTTATTTTATATTCCTATCTTCTTTACTCTTCAAAAATGATAATCGAATTGCTCTGCAGAGTTCTAGTGTGTTTAAACCATCGATTAACAGTTGTGAAATAAAAAAGTTCACACAAAGATTTGAACTTGAGTTAAGCCATGATTATTCAAAAAGCGAGAATAAAATGTATCGGTCGCCTTCAGTCCTACTTCATTCGTCGATTTTTATGAGTTGAATATTCATTAAATCGCTGTCAATGAGAACTGGCAAATTTTTCAATATTATATACCTGACATGACTAAAATTAGCAAATGGCAATGAAATTCAATTTGGTGACCGTGACCTATTCATAATGGAATACACAAGGTGGACGCAATTTCCTCAAGATATAACTATCCCATTCAAACCTCAGAGGAAACGGAAAAACCATTCTGTAAATCCATTGGTTAATCTCGAAATAGGGAGGTGATCCACAACAGGTTAGTAATTATCGTCACATAACTGTTCCTTACATATTTTCAAAAATATTTGGATATGCCTATTTAGTGTGACTGAATTCCCACATGCAGCCAAATCATTCATTAAAATCGACAACCAGCATGGATTCCAAGAAAACAAATCTACAAGCAGTGTTTTCTTTGAGGACAGAACACACACACGCTTCAGGAAAACCCTTAAGGCGTGAAAGCATCTATAAAAGAGAGACAAACCTCCAACTTTTCTTCGATCTTCATTAATATATGCAACATGCTGCATGCTGGTGATGATGTGCATCTGCAGCCGATGTCCTGGAATCCAAATGGAATGACGAGACAAGTGTGCTGTCGTCAGCAAAGCAATATATTAGATTCTTATTTTCCAATAAATCGTTGATATACAATAAAAAAAAAGTTGAAGACAATTTGGATCCCTGAGGAACACCAGCGTTGATGGTAGAAGTATTTAAGAGATATCCATCGACTGCCACTTGCAGGGAACGTTTGGTCAGTAAACCCGCATGCCACACACGGTCAAAGACCTTAGAAATATAAAGCGCAACAGCTCTTGACTCTCCATGTTTCTTGATTGCGTTATTCCAAATATGGGTGACATATGATGGAAGGTCGTTTGTTGATCTTTGGAGTGCAAAAGACGATGTTTTTTGTGAAAGAATTTTGTGAAGAATTCAAGGCATTTTGTCGAACTACTAGGTATTCATTAAAATCGACAACCAGCATGGATTCCAAGAAAACAAATCTACAAGCAGTGTTTTCTTTGAGGACAGAACACACACACGCTTCAGGAAAATCCTTAAGGCGTATTTCTAATATGTACCGCTCTTGGTAAAATCAAATGTGCCAAGTCAGTTGAACACCTCAATACCTCGATGTTTCAGGGCTTGCCCTGGAATGGCAAAAATCTTATCTACACGCACTTCACCAATACGTTCGTCTTCCAAAGTTAACTGAGAAAACGGTGACCACTTGCAATCCGGACCATCTTTACATCAGTGTAGGTGTTCCTCAAGGGTCAGTAGTGGGCCCAATATTGTTACTAATATATATAAATGACATATGATATCGTTAGAGCGAACCCATCCATAGATTTCACATTGTTTGCGGATGACACGTCCATACTTCGAACAATTTACTTATTCTCTAGAAAAAATATGTAATGAAGTTCTTGCTAATCACTATGACTACCAAATCTATGAGTACTCGGCATCGAATAATTTACTTCACGAGTGTCAATAAGACTTCAGACCTGGTAGAGGTAATGAAACAGCTCTGGCAGCTGTAACTATCTGCAAATGAGGCAAATATATCAAATGGTTTGGTATTACTCGACTTCTACAAAGCATTTGACACGATAAGTCAGGAATTACTTTGTGCAAAATTAAGGTATTACGGGTTCAATATTCAATCAACATTTTTGATATGGATTTATTTCATAAGATGATGCCGAAGGATTTTGGTAAATGGATCTCGTATTCATCTAGCCTAGATGTATTGTCAGGGGTTCCCCAGAGGTTAGTTTTCATATTCCAACATGAATTCTTTCATAAACTTAGCTTTAGTTCAGTTGGGATGAACGTTGGAACTATGTCATTGAGATACTCACCCGAATCCATACTTTGCCATCAAAATTGAAATTGTCTTTTTCCCCCAAGTAGGAGATTATTTCTAGTTTATAGTGCTCAGGGATAACATCTTTGGGAAGCCGATATCCATCAACAGCCAGAAGACATACCAGAAATAGGCATGCCACACGAATCATATTCTGAAATAAACAGTTAGGGTTATAAAATTGACATGAGTGACAATTCGATCAATATAGTCTAGTTATTATTAGAAGCCGATGTAAACGATCGCGGGAAGATTATATTTCATCAGGAGTAATAGTTATAGGAAATGTAAACTGTGATTTATGCAGCTTCAAGAAACTAAATATTTTGAAACAAAATTTCAAAACATTCACATTTGCCAACATTTCTAGGATCTGGTAAAACCCTACCGGCACAACTGCTTTCCCAGCTAGTACTACAATGGACATTGAATTATATCCGACACTGATTCAAATAGGGCTTATTTCCGTGAAATTGAATAAGTATATACTGAAATTATACAGTTTAAAATAGAATACTTTCACCATCAACGCTGGTGTTCCCCAGGGACCCGTATTGTCTCCCACCCTCTTTTTATTGGACTCATTGGAATAAACCAAGAATCCAATATATTGCTTTGCTGACGACAGCACACTTCTCTTGTTATTCCATTTGGATTCCAGGACCCCGTGGGATGGGCTACCTATCAGGCGCGTCACCCAGTGGCGGATAGGTGAACGGCCAGGGGACTGGAGGCCCTGCCCGGGAAGCCAATGTGACCTTACGGACGGGGTCGCCGGACTCCTGGTCAGTGGCAGAGATAAGTAGGGTGAGGGGAACTAAAACTCCCCAAAAGACTTTGCAAAACACGCTACTGTGAACCAGCCTACCCAAGCTAAGGTGTGAGGAATCGTGCCGATAGCTGAATGGCCGCAGGGTAATATGCGGTCAAGAACGATCCCCTTAGAGAACCGGGCGAAACCTCATAGTTATCAGCCTTCCTCTGGTAATGCGGGGCTCTGCCAGAGTGACCAACTCTTCCCCAGCTACTCGTGGGAACACACATGAATGAAACAATCACAAAAACAGAAACCACAAAAACAAAAACCAATCCCGAGGCTGGACAGACGTGCTCACCTCAATCAATAGAGCACTGCCCCTAAGTATACCCTGAAGCTGCTGGATTCCATCCAAAAAAGGGCCATCCACCTCATTTGAGACTCAAACATCACTTGCAACCTTGATAGTCTGGAACATCCAAGAAAGGTTGAAGATTTGTCTCTCTTGTATACAGGGTGTAACTAAATAAGTGTTGAACATTTAAGGAGGTGATTCCTCATCGAAAAAAAGATAGGATTTTTCATATGAAGAAACTTCATTGGAGCATCCCTTGTTAAGATACAGCCCCTTAAAGGGGGTACATAAAATTTGTATAACAATTTTTTTTCACAAGCACTAAAAAAGTTACAATATTGAAATTAACCTGACGTTTTGTACTACCAAAAAGACACTTAGCCAGTNGATGTATCTCTGTAGTTGTTCGTAAAATAATTTTTTGCTGAGAATTGGTTTATTTTGGGCAAAAAACCCAAGAGGCATTTTTTGTTTAGAATGAAACAGGTTATCGCAAATACATTTTTAATGGTAAACAAATAATAAGACAAAAAGTTACATTGGAAATCAATTTTAGGGGTTGCGTTTTCCACCCCTTACAACCATGGGGTAAAGCAAATAAATTTCTGGCTAAGTGTCTTTTTGGTAGTACAAAACGTCAGGTTGATTTCAATATCGTAACTTTTTCAGTGCTTGTGAAAAAAATTGTTATACAAATTTGATATACCCCCTTTAAGAGGTTGTATCTTAACAAGGGATGCTCCAATGAAGTTTCTTTATATGAAAGATCCTTTTTTTTCGATGGGGAATCACCTCCTTAAATGTTTTACACTTATTCAGTTACGCCCTGTATAGACTTTGACTTGGTACATTTGATTCAACGAAGAGCGGTTTGAGGTTCAACTCAGTACACCTCGAAAAAGTCATAAAAGTGAAAGAAACTTTTGAAACAACCTATTAAAAATGGTACCTTTTTACGTAAACCTTGTACGACTTCGATATCTTGAGAAGGGAAGTTTTTGTGTCCACACTGTATGATTACTAGGTGAGACGTACTTCGTATTCTCGGAATTTCATGACATCATATCAAAATAATGAACGGTTTCATTAAGAGAAAGCTTTCGTCCGCGAATGACACCTAATATCAAATCCATCATGTGGCATGATATATGTGTTACAATTGAGGAGTGGCTAAATTGTCATTACATTTGTGTTTAATTTTTATTAGGCCATTGATCCCTACAAGATGTGGTGTGTTTATTATTAATTTTCGAGGGGATTCCGAAGGGTGAAATAGCCGACTAATTCGAGTGAAATTCCAAATATTGAAGTCCATTTGGGATTGTTTCCAAATAAAAATTTACTTTTGATTCGATTGACATGAATGACATCAATATAAAATATTTGTTCGAGTAGATATGTATTTGAAATATTCCTTCAGTATTTGATATAATTCTTTGATACACATTTTCAAATTCACACAGACTTTTCGAGTAACTCAAATGCTTAGATATACTAATAATGAAAAAATTATTTTTTCAAAAAACATACGCCCCTACGTTATAGTAGGGGATAAACAATAATCAAAAACTATAACATAACTGAGTGAGAAGAGGGCAACAGAAAAACAGACGAATCATAACTAAAACTTTTTGAAAAATTAAAAAGATAATTGAATGTATTTTGAGAGTCTCAAAAATGATTATCAACATCGTAAACATAAATGCACACTACAGAAAAGAGGTCCACGGTCAGCAATCTGATAATTTCAAGTCAAGGTTGAACAGCGTCTTGTGTTTCTATCAGTTCAACGGTGCGGCTTCGATTTTGGATCCATTTTCAAAAAGCTATCACTACCAGTGAGGTCTCATTTTGCCTACTACTCATATAGTGACACTCTGCTAGGGTTTTGTGACCTGACGTCAGGCCCTCAATCTGCCTACCTTCCAGGTCTCGTCGCTGGTCTCTGCAAGAGTCTGCATACTCCAAGTCGATGCTTGCCTCTCATGTGAACCAATGACTTTGAGGGTGTGTTTGACAGATACCCAACGGAAAAACAACAACCAACCCAGCTAATGCCGCGCAGAAAGCTGAAAGGTTTGTTCTGGTTCTACGAAATTCAGGTTCTTGGACGTCAGGATCATGCGCAGTTGTTATAGAGCGTTCTGGTTTATTGAGGATAATTTCGTACTGATGAATCCTCTGTTCTGGTTTCGACTGCGAAATGATCCTAAACTGTCTTGAACCGTACCGAATCGTTCTTGCTGTCGAGACTGAACTGTTAAGAACTGTTCCCGTTGCTCATGCGCGTTCATGTGGAAAATTGTTTAGGCTGCTAGGATGTTTTTTTATTTATTTGATTTAAATAATTGATGATTGAGGTTAGATAACATTTGAACTGACTATAAGGATACGCTACATAACAAAATGGACATGATTAATAGTATTTTCTCGTCTTTATCTCATCATGTATACGATAGGTGGCACAGTGGTCTCCTTGAAATGCGTTCTGGTTTAAACAAGTGTCCGAGACTATTTCGGACTGCTTGAGGTTTTTTGCTTGTACGCATCATGTCTTTCGCTGTTCGTCGCGAGTAACTTTCTATATTTGAAAAGTTGAAATTGATTTCATTCGGTCGGAACGACCACCGATAGACCGGTTTCGGAGTACCTGCTTCTCGTCAGTGCCGGGAAGGTCATCTCATAAGGAGTGAACCGTCTAGTATCCCGAACAAACGAAATTAATTCCAACTAGTCATAAGCTCTATCTGCAGTTGATTCAGAAGGATGTCCACTGCATCTCCTGCAGAAAAAGTCACGAAACAGCTCCACAAATATATAATCCGGAGTGGGAGTCAGCATATTAAACATATTCCGGGGAGATGCATATGAGATACCCAAGTTCAGGTGGAAAGCACCTCACCCTTTACCTCTCATGTGAATCTACGACTTTGTAGGTACGTGTGGCAGATTCCCGGTACTGACGAGAAGCAAGTACTCCGAAACTGGTCTGTCGGTGTTCGTCCCGACGAATCTTCTAAATGGAAGAAGCTGCACAGGGGCCTGATGGTTATGAACTACCAGAAAACAATATGAAAGAGTATATTTTTTCATTCTTGTGAAAAAAGCAAAGTATTCGTAATAACTTCAACATGCATCGATTATCAAATAATCGACTTGAAGTTTTCAAGTCCAAATATTTAGAAAACGGTTGCTTACAGCGACTAGTAACAAGGGTAGCTTATTTACGTAGATATGATAGAGGAATAGATTTTTTTACTGAAAAGTACGCCCAAAAAAGTTATGAATGTTTAAAAAAGAAAAAGACGTGTAGGTCGCGCCCCCTACGAGTAAGACGAATAAGAACATCAGGTTCGAATTCGACACCTCAAAAACCTCCTATTACCAAGTTTCGTTTAATTAAGTTCAGTATTTCAAAAGTTATTTGAAAAAAAAACGAAAATAAAAATAAAACTTCAACATCCTGTATCTTGGAAACGAAGCGTTTCCGGACATTTATTCATTTGGACAATTCATATTAGAATATTGTGAGGAATCACCTCCTGAAGTTTGTCAAAGTACCATGTACCATGTGTAAAGGTGCTTTGGCGAATAAAATCATGTGTAACCCGGTCCTTTTTTGATGCAAAAAGAAAGGTGGAATATGACATTTTCTGATTTTTTAAGCGCCATAATTTTGTAATGAAGGAAGAGTACCGCATTTTGACCTCGGAGTGGTGTCTTTTTCAAGAACAAAACAAGCACTACAGAAAAATCCTTCAGGCGCTCTTAGAGCGGTGCCTGTGCACTTCCTCCAGCAGTACTGGATGCACTTCTCTTAAAAATTGAACGTATGCCTCACCATTTAATCGAGGAGGTAGAAAATGATTTTTTTTCGATGAGGAATCACCTCCTTAAATGTTTCACACTTATTTAGTTACACCCTGTATATTAGATCCTTGGTTTTTTTTCAATGAGTTGGCAACATTATGAATATTTCCAAAAAATATTACTATTCATTTAAGAACGACACCTTGGATAGATGAAATAGTATGTGTCAACATACCGCGATTTCATGGACTTTGGGTTTGCGAAGAGATATACTGTCATGTATCAAAACAGTAGGTACATTTGATCATTGCTTTTTCAACAGAATCACATCACTCACAAAGGCTGCCAAAAGCCACAGTCATTGGCACTCTAAACGGACCTCTAGTCAAAAACATTGACGTTTGTCAAACCCTTGTGCTCGCCGCGCGAATTTCAACGCCAACTAATAAACACTCGCAGTAGTATAGATCTTATTAGTCAATTTAAATAACAATTTCGAATCTATTAGCACTTACTTGCCAGTTCAGGAATCGAACGTATTTTAGCGTCGCAGTTACGTAATAATGTGGCAAATGGTTGCTTTCACATTTTTTGCTGTTTAGGCTGTATTCAACCGAACCGAAGTGTTGACAGAAGTAAGAAAACAGAATTTTTTGATGCAATGAGGTTAGACATTTTCTAAGTTAGTTATTTGATGTCGAACAAATTATTATGGACTTTTGTCATTCCTAAGGCTAATTCAGTTTACAAATACCACAGACCTACCAAAAATAAATGAAAATTATCCTCCAATCAGATTTATAAATGTCAAAACCTAAAATTTCGTGTCGGTGGAGTATCATGGTAGTTCGAAAAAGGAGTGTTTCTACTCGAATAATTTGTGTTAATTATGTTGTGACCAAAAAACCGTTGCATGAGCATCGCTCAAGAATTGCTCATGAATAAATGTTTATAACACGAAATCAAAAGCCAATCGTCTCAACGGAAGAGCCCAGGAGAGCCATGGCCAAAAAAGCACGCCAAGTTCGCGAGAAGCAATACGAAGAAAATGTCCGGTATTGCGGAAAACAATTTATGGGTCCCAACCACCGTATTCATCAGATTTAATCCCCTGCGACTTTTTTCTGTTCCCAAGTTCGAAGAGACCCATGAAAAGATGGCGTTTTGCGACGATTGAGGAGAAAATTCACTCAACTTCGTTCATATCCTCATCAGCGGCGGCTCGTCAGAGGAGGCAAGGGAGGCTTAGCCTCCCCATAAAATTTGAGGCTATTCATCGCAATAAATTAAAAGTTATTAAATTCACACAATTTGGCACTTTTGTAAACGGTAGCGTTTTTTCGGGCACCTCAAAAACCATCCAAAATGAGCTTATAGACAGTGTGGCATATATTATTAAGGAAAATATAAACAAGGAGATTGAAAGTGTTTCTTTTTTTGCATGGGAAATTGATGAAACTACCGATATTACCTGTACATCACAACTTTCAATCGTTTTTAGATATGTCAAAGATGGTCATGTGCTTGTGAAATATTTGTAGCAATTTTTAACAAAACTGTTATATTAGAAGAGAAAAGTATTATTATTTATTGACTGAGAAGAGTTCATTTATATTAAATAACTCAAAGACAACTGTTTTTCTTGGTTTTTGTTTTTTTAATGGTCAGTTTTATACGTATAATTTTCGGCAATACACAATTTTTGTTTGCATTTATGCAAATATTACGTATTTTTCTTCAAATAGGTGCGATACCCCAAAAAATGTTCGCGCCTCCGGCGGGCTTTTCTGTGTTCTCCCCTGTTCTCCAATGCACGAGCCGTCACTGATCCTCATAATAAAACAACACCCCCAATATCTTCTAAAGAAGTTGGCATACAGACGTGATACACTAGAAGTCTCATAAATCGGAATGAATATTCTATTCCACACCATAAATTCAAACAGTTTGTGCGATCCTTCTCTTATCAGGCCGTTACTAATAATAACGAAGAAAATATGAAACAGCTTTCTTTTATAGATTCAAAAATCTGTCTGAATAAACAATTATATTGAAATCGAGTAACCAAAAAAAGTTCTTCAGAATATTCCCCGTTTTAGTTTATTTTTAACAGTTTACTTTCATTTGTACCTATCTAACTATGTATGTTTCGTTGAGTGGAAGAATAGCGATGTACGCCAAACTCTCCCGAATAAAATAAAGGCCATTTATTATTATTATTGTTTTTTTCAATATTCCGCTCTTCAGCCACTGAATAACACCCGCGTAGCCCCTTATTCGACACAATAATAGGAGGTAACGACAACATACACCCAACAAGAAGGAAACAAACTCAACACACCATGAATAATAATCCGTGTAAATAAATCGACGTATTTTCAAAGGCGATCGACAAGCAATTAAATAAAGCGTAAACGGAAACAACAAACGAAAACAAAACACTAACCTGACAGCTAACAGGTCTTAGATGTTTCTATAGTAACGTACACACGCTCACTTCTAAAGTTAGACCGCTTCTGAACATATTCAAGTTCAATCAATTTATTATACGACGGTAGTTTCTGTACACAGCGCCCCTCTCTAATTTATTAGTTAATATATTTTATATAAAGTTGCTGTTTGCTCCAAGTATCGATTTCCATTCAACTGAAGTACCCTTCAAACTTCTGCAAACTTCGCTGACAGTGTTTTGTCACGACGATAATTAATCGAGTAACCCACAGAGAATGATAAGGCGAATTAATTTAAGAGGCTTTCTAAGTTATTAAAGCGGTTGGCGAACTCGATGTCATTTTGGTATCGGAGTATCGAGGAAGGTCTAACGTGATGAAAATTCTGAAAAAATTTAATTGAAACGACTCACAGAAAGTAAATTACAAAATATGCGTCTCGGAACGCCAGACAGAAGTGATAAGTTGAACTAATCTAAGTTGAACTATTTAATATTTGAAGGTGATTGACAATGTTTGATGATTAAAATGATTTGAATTCCTGAAAAAACCAATACAAATGGAAAATTAAAAAGAATAGCTGAAAATAACAATTATTAGGGTCACCACTCTGCAGTTTGAGGAGTGTCAGATGATGACAGTACTACCAACTGTCGAAAGCGCTCGCAGATAATTAATAGAAGATATAAAGCTTCAAATCCTTTTTGTAGAAGTTAATATTGAAATACTCAAAATGAAGGAAAATTATTGGCTGAAAACCGAATCAAGTTCACTATGTCATGTGTTGTGAATTGAATTGTTTCAGTTTGGTTGATGGTGGATCTGTAGGGAGTTTTACTTGTTAAGAATCAATAGTAGTGCATACACCACTGATTTTCAATACAATTTACTATAAATCAATCAATTTTATAATTGGTCAAATCAGATTTCGCAAAATATGTTCAAATTGGCTTTTTATGTTACCTAAAAACAATGTTCCAATACGGAATTGACAAAATTAATCACATCAAATCCGTGATGAAATCCATAGATAACAAAACCCGTATTTCCAGTGACGGGTTTCGAAATACTGCCTTGTCTGTATCGCCAGTAGATAAACAATTGGTAAAGTTGTTGATATATACTCATGTAACCCTTCTTCAGAGCGAAATATAGCTTTTTAATTTCTCGGAAATGATTGTTTAGTTGAACGTCAGTCATTTCATTCGTGCACATCATTTGTGAACTTTGAATAAATCCCCTTTTCCAGATTAGTAGTTGTAATATCTGGTTAGGAAATGTAACGTACACACCACTGGCAATCAATTCATGGCGTGATTAATTCAAACTTCAGAATGTATATCAGCTGTCTAATAATGAATTTTGATTATGAACATATAGAAACAGTTACTCTACCATCTAACGGTTACTTATTTCGTTTTATCGTTTTTTTTTCATCTAAAAAAATTACGAACTACGATGATTTTAGAATAAGAACTGAATAAATTAATTATGGTAATTTTCAACATATTTGATGGCAAACTTTTAAAAATATGGCCCTAGACGATCAATCTGCTTGATCAAACGAAAGAGTCAATCGATTGACGCACGCTTCAATCAACTGCAATCAGTCCTTCAATTTTTTGATCAAAACCTTCTTCTCACCAGAAATGGGACCAGTGCACACTCGTTGTTTGTTCGCTGATGGTTCATTTCGGTGAGCAATGGTTTCGAACACGGATTTGGCCTTCCTCTCTCACATTGGTTGCCCTCAAGCGGAAAAACTAACAGAAAAAGAAACGACGGTGGTCGAAGGAGTGGTACATGGTAATGATGCAGTTTTCTTGTTTCTGTTGTAATAGTCCTTGCTCTTCACTTTCCATGATTCCGGACAATCGCGCCATAATTCAATCAACAGGTTAATGAATTCCCGCTCAGAGTTTTCGGGAAGCTCACTTTCCGTAGCGGACGCCATGGTTTCTACCTAGTGACTGACGCTGACGCAATGCTTGACGAAAATTGCCCTGGACAATAGTTGTCGACAATGTTGTGGGTTCATCTTCATTTCGTTGGTTGATCTTCAGCGATGAGGTCCAGAAATGGGCTTCATCGCTGAAGATGATTTTTCGATCAAATTCAGCGAATATACGTCGTTGTCTATGGTCGTTTACCTTCAGTTCCTGGGTCCATTGAATTTTAAACGGGTGAGTCAATCGATTGACGCACGCTTCAATCAACTGCAATCAGTCCTTCAATCTTTTGATCAAAACCTTCTTCTCACCAGAAATGGGACCAGTGCACACTCGTTGTTCGTTCGCTGGTGGTTTATTACGGTGAGCAATGGTTTCGAACACGGATTTGGCCTTACTCAACCTCACATTCCCTCAAGCGGAAAAACCAACAGAAAAAGAAACGACGGTGGTTGAAGGAGTGGTACATGGTAATGATGCAGTTTTCTTGTTTCTGTTGTAATAGTCCTTGCTCTTCACTTTCCATAATTCCGAACAATCGCGATATAATTCAATCAACAGGGTAAAGAATTCTCGCTCAGAGTTTTCGGGAAGCTCACTTTCCGTAGCGGACGCCATGGTTTCTACCTAGTGACTGACGCTGACGCAATGCTTGACGAAAATTGCCCTAGACAATTGTTGTCGACAATTTTGTTGGTTCATCTTCATTTCGTTGGTTGATCTTCAGCGATGAGGTCCAGAAAAGGGCTTCATCGCTGAAGATGATTTTTCGATCAAATTCAGCGAATATACGTCGTTGTCTATGGTCGTTTACCTTCAGTTCCTGGGTCCATTGAATTTTAAACGGGCGGAGGCCCAAGTCACGAGGCCGAGTTCTTGAGAGCGACGCGAAATTGACTGCCACGGATTCTCGTGCACACTCTCACAGGCAACGGCGATGTTTTCAGCAGATCTTGCGTTTCGTCGACGTACGGGTGGTTGTCGATCGTTTACTGAACCAGTGGACTCGAATTCATCCACCACATTACCAATGGCGCGCGATACGTTGCCCGAACCGAATACCCATTTTGATAAAACAATTGTATCATTTGTATGTGGTGATTTGACAAAACAGACTGAATGACAACTAATTTGACAGATGTAGCTTCAACAAGATGGCCGTTATCAATTGTCAAAGTTCGAAAGTCTCTATTTTGAAGACACTATACAATATTCACAATACACTGGAACGAAAGAGATGTAAAACTAGTATTTCTCCAACATTGAAAAAAAAATTAAACAAATGAAAATATAAAATGCTTTTATACTAATGGCAATACGAGATATCTTAAAGACATTATAATTCTACAGTTAAATCTCCCAGAAGTTCTGCAATACAGCTCCGTTTTTATCCTTTATGGTATACACACGATATTCATAACATATGTAAGAATGGAATGTTCCCTGGCATGGTTCGACAAGCTCCGTGATTGCAAAATTTGATTCTTACTAGTCCTCATTTTGTCTTATACCTATATTATCATTTGCAGGTCATCTTGGGAAAATCTTACGACGTCGAATTCCCTTGCTCAGTGACATGTTTAGGATATGCACCGACATTATACGAATGATTTGATGCCATCCCTTACACATTGGTCCCAAAATAGTCATATTGTCATCCGGGATAAGTGTTTCTTAATTTTCTAAAGTAGTGAATCCTGTCACAAAAAAGTTCATCACACGAATTTCCAATGGATACACGCCTGTCTTTGACTGTCACACTGCCCCTGCAAATTCACAGAAATCAAAGAAAAGATTGACCGTCGTTCAGAAAACCCAAAATCCATCAAATCTGGTGGAATCCTTCCGAAAAGTCCCTCCCTTGGACGTTTTGCTGTCCGTGACATGAGGCAGACCGTTGACGTAGGTGTTATCAAGAGCGTCAACTTCGCAAAGATGCCTCTGCCGGAAAGGTCACGAAAGCTTTCGAAAAAGCACAAAATAAGAAATAACTTTTCCATATATACTTTAAATGATTTAACAAGCTGGGGTTTATTTTACTACTTTGACTTTGTGATCTTTGAAATTTCTGATACTGACAAACATTGGAAAGAAACAATAAACACTATTCTAATTTGTAGTCGAATAACATATTAGCTGGATAACATGACGTATTTTCATGGTGTGACGCTCAGCCAACCAAGAAAGGACTAATATGAAACAAATCACACGCCAGTTTAATCCGATATCGCAATTTTTGTTTTTTCATCATTATTTTACAATTACAGATTGTGTCACGCAACCAATGATTCAAAATTCCCATTCAGCAAGGTTATTTGCGTTTGCAGGGAAAACTAAATATTGTATAAAGATAATGACGACGAAGTTTCTAATTAGGTACAGCTTGGCAAATCTAGCTGTGCCTCTGATTAGCAGACGAACGGGCGATCGCTCATTAACATCGAGAAGCTCGTGTAGCTAACATCGTGTGAGTAAACTCATTGTCTTTCACAATGCACAAGAATTGGGGTTCCCGTTGCCTACTGGTATATGTGTAGTTGTCAACACTTGCCGAATTTATATTCGCTAAAATTCTTTTCCCGTTTGTACTTCTTGATAAAAGTCGGTAGTGGACAGTTACCATCTATGTTTATCGTTCGCGTATCTCAGACGCTCAGCTAGATTTGCCTAGCTGTATATCAGTAATATTTTTGTGAATGGAGCACTATCTGTAGAGTATGGAGGGTGAGTGTAGGCTCACAGCATTTAGGCCACATCCTCCCAAGGAGTTGTCCTCCTAGGTCATCTTCCATCCTGTCCTTTCCAGGAAGGTGGACATGTCACTAGGAGACATCTCCTTTATATCGGCAGGTGTAGGTCAAGACTCGCTGAACACACACTTTCTCATTGACGATAACTCCGGACACTCGATTAGGACATGCCTGACAGATTCATCTTAGTGTTCACATATCCTGCGTAGAGGTGTGTCCACTAGACCCATATTGTGGAGGTGCTTCCTTAGTTGACAGTGGCCAGTTAGAAACCCTACTGTTAAGCGTAGATTTTTCCTGGTCATCGCCAGATATTTCTTCGGCACCAGCTTCCCAGGGTGATCCTGACAAGATTGCATACCATCATTTTAGGGGATGAGCATGGGTGTGATGTTTGGTTAGTTTCGCAATTGTCGAAGTCATCAGGCCGTAAGTGCCGCTGGGTCCTAAAATTCTTAGTCCAGCCGCTTCCTTGGCGAAAGAGTCGGCAATGCGATTACCTTTACTCCTGTCGTGCCCTTTAATCCACCTAAGTATTATCTACCGATGCTTGAATAGAGCACTAACAGAAGAATAATCGAGAGTTATGAAACAGTTTGGTTTCAAAATAATAACCAGTTTTTCTTGTCACAACTCTTGGGTAGATCTGAGGCACCTCCAGAAACTGGAGGTATGGGGTATCTATCTATTTTAAACTGATGATTTCAAACTCTATAATTGTATTCTTCATTTCTACAGTAGCAAGCAGTATTCGTCCTAGCAAGAGATAAACACTTTTATACATTTCCTTTGCTGCCTCGCTTTTGAAAATCAGCTTACTCATTAAGAAGCTATGAAGCTTTGAAATGCGAACAGTATGTTTTTCGAAAAATGCATAAGTTGAATTGATTTCAAACGATTTTAAATAAAAACCTGTTTTGTGAACTTAAATGTAAAAACATACATTTCTTCACAACTATTTGCTGTTCAGTGATTATCGAATTTTTTTCAGATAGGTACCTAAGTAGCCTGTCTTTTTCAAATAGTTATTTAACCAACGGCACCCTGACAATTTTCTAGAAAAATTCCATTGAAGCTGATACTGTGGTATCATAAACATATTCGGCATGTTCCGACCAGTATTGAGTGATGGCATTCGCATAAATGATAAATAGTATGGGTCCTAGAATAGATCCCTGGGAAACCCCTGAATAATTTCGATGATACATTCCCATTTGAGGAGATACACTGATTTCTTTCTGTCAGGAAACTCTGAACAAAAAAATGATTTTCTTTGATATAACTTTTCAATCCCATGTAGCACACAACCAAAAGCTTTGGAAAAGTTCAAAAATGATGTTAGAGTTGACTTTCTTTTTTCAAATTCGTATGTGATGTGCAAGGCTATAACTTGATTGGGAGACCAAAAAAAAACTATTCATGAATACATTAAAAATGATATATAACAGACACAGAATATCTTGAATAAGCTTACATCAGAATTGAAAAAGGATTGAAAAAATCACCAGTTATACAGGGCATTCTATTTGAAATAAGAACATTGCTGTCAACTTTCAGTGAGACCCCAGGTGAGGTGAATTAAAAATATTGCAGATGAATAGATCCTTTTCAATTGCTTTCTTCCATAGCCCTTTCCGAGTTGTCTTGTTTTTTCACCAATCTCACAGGAAAAGTCCCAACTTTCTTTCATTTGTTGTATGGTTCAAGCTTTGATCGCCCTTATATACTTATCATACATTGTGTATAAATATTGGAATGAAAAGATAAACCTACACTATATTTAAACAGACGACACCCCCTATCGAACGACAACCCTCAGTACCCAAGCTATGGATTAACGAGGTCTTATCTTTCAACGAACGATTCCCAGAAAAGCAGCCACAGTTTCATTAACCATACATTGTTATTATCAGAAAATAAATCAGAAGAAGATTGGCAGAACCTTTCAGCTTTGAAACCTGTTCTGCAATATCAGGTTTAAAAGTTGTTTCCTTTGTTTCCCTGAGCCGTTCTATAAATATATGATCTTTGATGGAGGTTAACCTGGGTTTTCGAATTTTATTGCCTGATATTGTGTTAGAAGAATGAAGGAGAACAGATATATTTTGAATTCTCCTGTCGAACAAATCGAGACAAATATAGGGAATAACTGTTTATCAATTTTTTTTTGAGTAGATCAAATCTGCTATGGTCATGAGCTCAAAACAGGTATCATTTTCACGTTTTGGCTTTGGTATATTTTTTTTCAAATTGTGAATGAGATTACGTTGAATTAAATATAAAATAAATGATTACTCCTTAAATCGAATTACACAATGTGATTTTTAACTGTTCACCTACTTTAATTATTTTAATGATCCTGGGTTGAATCCTATAGTCAATAGTTTAAGTAGTATATATCTGATTATGTGGAGTTTTCACAAATGTGCAGCAATTTCTCGAAAGACTACTTATTTATTCGAAAAGTAAATCCATTATCTTGGCATACGGCACTTAAATAATATGAACTTATACTAAACTGTTTCACTGAGATTACTGACTTGGAACAACATCATTAATCCATTTCAAATAGTCACTGTTGCCATTCTGAATAGGAACAGATATGACTTCGCAAACTGTATACGGATGGTGTGCCTTTACGAAATCTGTCAGATCATTGACTTTGTTGGTTCTAGTCTTGATCATCATCAGTACTTCAGAGTCTTCATTGATTTTTCCTTCCCATTCGTATATTGAAGTAATTTTTGGGACTATATTAACGCACGCAGCTAGTTTTTTCTCAACAAGTCCATGAGCAATTTTTTTAGCAACTTCTTCATTCGGAGCAGTTACGTAGGCCACAGAGTGTTCACCACCGACATAAGAGGTTCTGTTCACTGCTGAAATTTCACCAGACATGTCTTTAGTTGCCACAACCGAGTATCGTCGAAGAAATCTGAAAAATAAGGTTTTATCACAGATAGGATTATTACTGCATTAAAATATATCATACCCAAGAAAAATTGTAGAGATGAATATGCCCTTATTGAGGTTAACGAGCATCCTCGGAAAATATATAATTTTAACTTACCAAATTGAGTTAAAAAATATCAATAAATCCGTAAAAAATAGTATGCAAATGAGCATATAATAATTCATTTGACAGTCAAATGTCAAAGTGCATACCAATATCAATATTATTCCAAATAGAAATTAATTCCCAGTTTGTGTTTACTTTATATGCAACCCACAATACGCCGCTCTTATTTATTGGTTGCGTGACTCTTCAACTATCGTTCACCAAAAATAAAGTACGATTTGACAGCAAAGTAAGGCACCAGTGTATTATCATATAGTTACCTAACATACCTACCTGTAATATAATTGATAGATCCTATAGTTGCTGACCTTGGCTCAGGCAAATGACTGAATCGTATTAACGTTAAGAAAATCAACTTCTTTTGATATCTTTATGTCATTCACAGTGACTAAATTACAACAGAAATCCCTCCTAACAAATGTTTTCATCAGCACTGACTTAGATTTATTTAAAATCAGTTTGTTACGTTGACACCAACTATTGAATTCGTCAATAACTAAATTATTTTCATCGATAATTCATTCTCATTTTTTCTAGAAACAGTGATTATAGTATCGTCAGCGTACATAGTTATGTGACAATCTGATATGAATTCAGGCAAGTCATTGATAAAAGTCAAGAATAACAATGGACCCAGAACAGATCCTTGTGGAACACCTAGTTTCACATCATAAGGAACTGATGTAATTCCATTACATTTAAGCACCAAACTACGGTTTTCCATGTACGATTCTATCCAACACAACACATTATCGGAAAAGCCCATTACATGTAATTTTTTCAATAGAAATTTGGAAGAAACAGTATCGAATGCTTTTGATAGGTCTAAAAAAAGTGAGAAAACCAGGTTATTATTATCCACTTGTACATAAATATAGTTCAATAGTTGGTTCACGGGAAGTGTTCAAGTGACTTGGCACATTTGATTCCACCAAGAGAGGTACATATCAGAAATACGCGACGGACTGTGGCTGCTCATCGTTTTGAGGTTCAACTCAGTACACCTCAGTACACTTCATCTGGAGAACTGCGTTTATATGGATTAAATTTCCTGATAATTTTTTCCAAATGAATTTTATCTCCAGCGATTCAAATCCAATGTGTTCAAGTCTAAGTATCATTTCTGTAGCTTTATAACCAAAGTCGTCTTCAGTATTCGTATCGTCTTCGGCTGATAACCTCCACACTCACTTCTGTCTACGTAAGTGAATCACTGTATTAACAATTACAAATGTTATTGTTGGTGAATAATCAAGATAATAAAGCTGTTAAAAACAACTCATTATCTGTATAATGTTCACATAGCCTACTTGCAAATACTTCGACTACAATATTTACATTTTTATTGAGAATATTGTTGACAACGTAGGTAGAAAAAATAAATTCAGGAACGGTCCACACAGGAATACGTTGAATTTGAACAATACACGTTTTATATAATATTCTGTGTTCCCACTGTTACTATTGGCTTGTATTACAGTGAGTACCAGTTAATTGAAATTGATTGAAATTACAATCTGGCTATTGAAGGTCTCGCTAAACGCATCGAAGATCAGTTTCAGTTCAGACAAAGCAACGACAGCAACAGAAAACGAAGTGAACTGGTGGAAAAATTGCAGTAGATGATTGAATTGATATGGTAAACAGTTGAATGAAGTGTAGAAACAGTGTTGAACTGGAAGCAACTCTGTTTCATGCATATTGTAGTCTTTAATTACTTCTTCACTGAGATCATTGACCCTCAGAAGACCTTTATGTATGTCTGTTAAAATATGTTTTTTCCTTAACCAGCTGTTACCCTCCTAATAAATCAATCAATCAATTTATCGAACGAGATAGTTTCGTTAACCCGCATATTCTATTCACAATAGCATTCTGTGAAGTGTGACAGTTTTCTTTCTTCAAGCATTCATGAATATTTAAAATTACTCGCTGAACTTGAACATGTTTATGAATGTACTCTTGCTTGCCGTTCCAATTGGGAATGGATAGACTATACCACAAGGTAAAGGATTTGAAAGTTTCAGATTTTTGCGCCAAATCAGCCAAAATTACATCCTCTATAATAGTTTTGCATTTCTTCATATCCAGGCAATATTTACTGAGGATACACTACAAAAACACACTTTTGTCTATTTTCCACTATATTTCTTTATTGTTGACCGGTTTCGGCTATTATACCATTTTCAAAACTAACTGATTACGTTTAAATCCGAGTAATTTATACCTATATTATTCTAGCATAAATGATTTGATATACCTGATATATCTGATATACCTGATATCCGGTACCTGCGTTTCATATACCTGTAAAATCCGTGAACATAACAAAGCTTTCAATATAATGTAGGTTTTGGGATCTGGACTATAGGTTCAGGAGAGGACTATTGTTTAATTCAAGTTGTTCGTTGAGGACAATAGAATTGGGATCTTTCTTTGACCTGTTTATTTCCATAGATTCCAACAGATTCATCATTTTCCCTTTTTCGCATGTATGTAGGATCTTTAAATTATCTTTATCTATTTTATGTTTCGAATTTTGAAGATGTTCGTACATTAATGATTTTTTATCCGAAATGACATGTTCGTGGTACCTTGTATCAAAATTTCTCCCAGTTTGGCCTGTATATATGGCAGGGCATTCACCACATTCTATTCGGTATATACCAGATCTCTTTCCTTTCTCTAATTTAGGTTTGGCATTAAATAATATGTTTCCTAAATTTCCGTTGGATGTGTAGGATGTTTGTAAATTGAATTTTGAGAGATAATTTTTAATATTCTCGGAGATTCTACCAGCATAATTGATACTAACATATTTGTGTTCTGGTCTTGTGGAAATTGAGTATAGTTCTTTCATTATTGATTTTTGTTGATATTTCATTATTATGTTGTTAACTAGAGTGGTAGGTATTTTGTTATTAACTGCTATTTGTTTAATGATTGCAATTTCACTTCGGAGGTTTTGATCAGAAAGGGGTATTGTGAAAGCCCTATGTATCATTGACCTGAATGCAGACAATTTCTGTGAAATCGGGTTAAAAGAGTCAAAAGGTATTGTGCAATCTGTGAATGTGTTTTTTCGGAAAATGTTAAAGTCGAGTTTATCATTGTTTTTGGATATTGTCAGATCTAAAAAATTTATCTCATTGGTCTCTTCTATCTCTACGGTGAATTTGATCTTATCGTGTAGACTATTGAGGAATTTCAAGTAATGAGATATTTGTCTAGTTGAACCATCGAAGCCTACTAATATGTCATCTACATATCTAAACCAGAACACAATATGTTTATGGGAAAGACAGTTATTCAAAATTAGATTAGTCTCTAAATTGTTTAGGAATATATCAGCTAGTAACGGACTTATCGGTGATCCCATTGGTAGGCCTGAGTTCTGTATATAAAATGTATTATTAAATTTAAAATAGTTTTGTTTTAAACACGTGTTGAACAGTTCACAGAGTTCACTGTTGACATATGGGTTAATATTATGTCTATCTAATATGTTTTTGATCAGGGGAAGGCATTCATCTGTTGGAAAATTTGGAAACATGTTCTTGATGTTAAACGATACTAATTTAATGTTGTTGTTAATTTTTATGTTGTTGAGTTTGTTTGTCAAGTCTATAGAATTTAGTATAGTGTGAGAAGGTTTGAAATTAGTGATCTCCCTGAATTTGCAATTTAAGAATTTTGACAGCTTATAATTAGGGGTATTGGTATATGAAACTACCGGTCTGGCTGGGTTACCTTCTTTGTGTAGTTTAATCAGTCCATACATCTCAGGTGGACGGGGGTTCATGCAGGTGTGGGAAAAAGGAACGTAGAATGTTCAAGATTTTTCTTCAGATGGAGTATGAAGGGTTTTGTGGGGTCTTTCTTCAACTCTGTGGTGTCCAATTGTTCTATAATATCTTGCATTTTTGAATCGTATTGTTGTTTACTCAGACATACTATGCTGTTACCTTTGTCTGCACTGGTGGAAAATAGACAAAAGTGTGTTTTTGTAGTGTATCCTCAGTGAACATGAATTTCCACAAAATAAACAAGTCGTCAATCGAAGAAGTGAAACAGGCAATATTTGTGCTATGATGATTAACTGCATTTATCCAAACCAACCTACCAGTATTTTTATATTTACAATAACAACGATGTGATTCTTTATGGACTAGGCCGGAAAAATGCTTACTTTCTCAAAGAAAAAGCGTCCGGGAAGTAAGTACTTTCTGGAAGGTTGTCGAAAAACGTATTTACAGTATTTTCAATATTTTTTACCATATTACTAGCCAATTTTATATATTTAAGAACGCCCCTGACCACGTAATGTAATTCATTAGGTTGTCACTGCTTTATAAATTCGAGAAACGTAGAAGCTCCATCAGTCTGAGTCAAAACATCAATATGAAGTTTATTGTTGGAGCACTGTCATTAACAACGGCTTATTTGTTTGTCCTTGGACATAAGTTGCCTCCAGGTGGTGAGTAATTACAAATCTTCAATCAATAATATATGAGAGATATACAGGCTATTGATATCTGGGAAACTTGCATCTTGCAACAAAAGTTGCCTTTTCCATAATCTGGTTTAACCCATCTTTCTATGCGACGTTTCTTTCATTGAGATCCATCATCAATATATTTTTTATAGGAACCTGCATGTTTTTTTCAACATTTTGGTAGTCATTGTAAGTACAAATTTATTGACATATCACAACATATGTATTTCTCAACGTTCCTTCCATAAAACACTCCATCATTCAACTTTTTTCAATGAGAAATCAAATTTCTAAATATCGTTGCAAGCACGCGATATTGCATTAAATGTTCAAGTTGTCTTCCGTTATTTCTTAAACAAATACTTGTTCTAAAAATAGTCTGCTGTGGCAGTTCTCTAACATCCTGATTGAATCTGTCAATGCTTTATCTTTTATGAAGCCGCACAACGAAAAATCTAGGCGAGAAAGGTCCGGTGAACGTGGTGGCCATTCATTAGGACCATCACTTCCTATCCATCTTCCTGGCATATCTTCTGCGATGTGGTGGAGCTCTGTAGTGTTAGAAATACTCATATTATCTTCGCCTTTGCAAAAATTCATGTTTTTTCCTTAAAATCGCTCACCAAATTGAATAACTGTTTTATTTTGTGTTTGACAATTAACTTGACATTCACATTCATATATTTCATGGCTTATTTAAAAAGACATTATCATGTTTCTCCTGAACTCATTTTCTGAATAGAAATATTTGGGTAGCTACAAATTTTACAGCGACATTTGGAACTTAAGAATGGCTTGGTATTGATACAAAGATTATTGGTCTCTCTATTTCAAGACAAAACTGGCAGAAGTCTATGTGAATTTCAGGGATATCAATGAACGACATAACCGACGGGAGAACTCTGGATTTCAGTAGCATTCGGGAATTCGAGCTGTTAATGAAAAAATTATAGAATATTGATGACGTGTTTTCGGGAAAAAACGTCGAGAAATACATATGTTGTAATATATCAAAGAACTTGTAATTACAATTACTACCAAAATGTATAAAAATATACAGGTCCGTATCTAAAATATATATTGATGATGGATTTCAATGAACGAAACGTCGCATTGGGAAATGAATTGAACCAGATTATGAAACGAAGCAAAAAGTTATATCTATCATTTTCAGTTTTTTGCAAATATCTCAGAACCGCTTGTCAATTCTATCGATCTGAGAATACCTACCATTATGTTGCATTCCTATAAAGGAAATTTATGTTTCATTTAGTCGTCTTTGTAGGACCTACCGTTCCCGAGATAGCAATAGGGGTATCAGCTTAAAAAACGGCATGTATTAGCATGGTTCATTGACATTAATATAAAAATATAATGTGTACACGACATAACAGAAGTGCATAACCCAAACATATAGAGTCACTCGTAATATAATAAATTTTTATTGAAAAAATTTGCTATGTTACTATATCGCACATACGTGTTTTTGCTAGCTATACATGAAGATAAAAAATAATGAAATTAGTTGATACCTTTCCAGTTTGAACTCTACTTAACGTGATATTAGAAGTGTGATGCACTGTTTGGCACTGCTTGGAACATTTGGTATAGTAACTGAAGTTCTATCCCAACACCAAATCACTATTTCTGGTCTTCTAGACAAATTGTATGCAATGGCATATCTTTTCGTGTGCCCAATTAGCCTCAGCTGTATTTTCTTCTCTTTTAAGGTATCACTTGGATAAACTGCACAAGGCCCAACGAGTTTTATGATTGCGGTAGTGCTTGTCAAACCGAATGCAAGACTCTCGACGAAGTCTGCCCAATAGTAAACATCAGATGTAACGATGATTGCTATTGTATACCAGGATATGCAAGAGATGACCATGGCCGTTGTATCCCTATAAAGGACTGTCCACCAAAAGAAGGTTGTTGAGTTAAATACAATTTCAATAATCAACATGAGAGCAACTTGATAATTTTTCATAGTCATAAAATACCAGTTTCGTTCATTCACACAATAAATTCAATAGATTTATGATGACTGTTCAAAGTGGGTACATTCTTCTTCAAAAAACAACTTTTCAAAGCCATACAATCGTTTGATGGACCATATCTGTTCAAATTTATAAAAAACATTTATGAAAGAGAAAAAGCAACTTGCTATAGTTCATCGTACCTATCATTTAGGGATCCAGAATCACTTTCTTTGACTGTTTTTAAAAGTTTCTACATTCGTTGCGAATAAAAATGTAAACATCATAATGGAGGATGAAACAGACTTCTTCATCTTAGATAGTATCAAAATTAATTATTTCTCCATTCATTGGAAACTTAACCACAAAATTCCAAGATGAATGGATTGGTCTTGGCCTCTTCCATTGGGATGATTGAACTTTGGTTTCGATGTCATAACCATATACCCATGTTATCATTCAAAAATCTTGAGCGATGCTCATGTGACGGTTTTTTTATTCACAATTCACACCAAAATTTTCGAAAAATTGCATAACATAAGCTAACCGATATGCCGACATCCTTTAACATTTTCATCGGTTGTTGATGTGCTGGGACGTTCATGACGAGCCCTGTAGCTGTAGCTGTATTCATGATAATAATAATAGCTTTATTGTCCAACAGTTACCCATTTACAGGACAATATAAAATGTTATTCACAATACTTAATTATGAACAAAAAATAAAATGAACAAAAAGAAAAACTAATTCTAATTACCTACTTCAAGTACATGTTAGCAATTCTAATAATGTTATGAAGGTTGGTGAAGAATAAATCACCATGGGCACAAATTGCCCATGGAATTGAGCATAATGTTAGTTCTTGCTCTGGCCGTGTTCAAGAATTTTAGAACAGTCAACTTTCTCACTCACTAACTTGAATAAAAATATGAGTGAGCAACGCACATTTTCTGCGATGCTCTGAACTAAAAAGTTCCAAACGTTCATATATGACATCATTACTGATACCTCTCTTAGGGTAAGAACCATCTACTCTGAAAATTAGAAATTTACAAAACTTTTTTTGAACTCTTTCAATGGCTATGTTATGAATCTCATAGAATGGACTCCAGATGATACTTCGTCTTCGAACGTACGTAGGTGAAGTACAACAGCTTCATGGTTTTAATATTATGAAAGTTTCTGCAATTTCTAAGAATGAAACCATAAGCTCTGAAAGATTCTGAAACTTTTTGTGAAATATGTCTACCAAATGTTGATTTATGATCGAATATTACCCCTAGGTCTTTGATCTTATTACATCTCAGCAGATCTGAATCCTGTATTACATAAGGGAATGTATAAACCTCTTTTTTCGACTATAACTCACTACTTCACATTTCTCCACATTGAGTTTCAATTTATTATTGCTACACCAAGCAACAAGAAATTGTAATTGAGATTGAAGATTTACACAATCACCTACTTCCTCAATTATAGAAAATAATTTCAAGTCATCCGCGAAGCATAACCGGTCACAAGCTAAGCTTTCACATCAATAAACAATAAACAATAAAAACAAAAGAGGGCCTAGATTGGAGCCCTGAGGCACATCAGAAGAAGCTAAATATGTTCTAGCTTCATAACCGTTATAGGACACGAACTGTTTTCTACATGTCAGATAAGATTGCATAAGCTGAAAGGCAGTATTTGAAAAATCAAAACTCATCAGTTTATTGAGCAAGACACCATGATCAATTTTATCAAATGCTTTAGAGAAATCTGTGTATATAACATCAACTTGGCCACTGTTATCTAATGCTTCGGAAATAAATTGAGTAATAATGACTAGATCTGAAACAGTAGAACGCTTAGTAACAAATCCATGTTGATGTTGAGATAGTTGGCGTTGAACAGAAGCATATATGCGATTATATAAAATAATCTCAAAAATTTTAGAAAATATTTTTGAGATTATTTTGACTCTTATGTATATGTGGAATATTTACCTGTTATTATGTTTGCTTATTAGACGTTTGCAATAAAATATTGTATTGTTTTGTATGTCTTTTCAGCTACCATTGATCAATGAATAAATTAATCTACAGCTACCCTATAGCTGTATAAAAGTTATTTTGACTCTTATGTATATGTGGAATATTTACCTGTTGTTATGTTTGCTTGTTGGACGTTTGCAATACAATATTGTATTGTTTTGTATGTCTTTTCAGCTACCATTGATCAATGAATAAATTAATCTACAGCTACCCTATAGCTGTATAAAAGTTATTTTGACTCTTATGTATATGTGGAATATTTACCTGTTGTTATGTTTGCTTGTTGGACGTTTGCAATACAATATTGTATTGTTTTGTATGTCTTTTCAGCTACCATTGATCAATGAATAAATGCTACCCTGTAGTTGTATAAAAGTTATTTTGACTCTCATGTATATACTTGTACGTGCAATATTTACCTGTTGTGATGTTTACTTGTGGAGCATTTGCAATAAAATACTGTATTGTTTTTTATGACTTTTCAGCTACCACTAAAGCACCCTGTACAAGACCGTACGAGGAATATAAGTGTGGTAGTGCGTGTCAAACGGAATGCAAGACTCTCCACGAAGTCTGTCCAGTAGTGAACAAACGTTGTCACAATACCTGCTACTGTATACCTGGTTACGCACGGAATGATAATGGACGCTGTATTCCAGAAGAGGAATGTCCCCCAAAGAACTGTAACAGAGGATAGTGAGTGTTCCAGAAACTGAAAGGATGCGTAACTACTTCATTCATAGTCTTGTTGAATATTTTTTGTAAAATTTTGTTGTTTCATTTATCTATCCAATAAATAGCAGAACTATGTTCATCATTCGTTGTATTCTTTAGAAAGCCTCTGAAATACACAGTGCCACAAAGATTTCGCCAAAGCCTCGGTAGATAATAACATTATCCTGAGGTGGGTTAAAGGGCACGACAGGAGTAAAGGTAATCGCATTGCTGACTCTTTAACCAAGGAAGCGGCCGTACTAAGAATTTTAGGGCCCAGTGGCACCCACGACCTGATGGCTTCGACAATTGCGTAAAGAAATGTGATGGAATCAAAGGATGCAATCTTGCCAATCCTGGCAAGATGACGCAGGAGGACAACTCCTCGGGAGGATGTACAATGGGTCACATGTGTCCTAAGTGCTGTGGACTTACACCCACCCTCCCTACTCTACAGATACAGATACACAAGATGAGATCAGAAGTAATCATTAAATTCCTTGATTATCGGTGAAATTCTACGTATCAAGATTTTTCCATCTTCACTTGAATAAGCGGAGATCGGCACTCCTCAAACTTGAGGAGTGCCTAGAAGATGACAGTACTACCAACTGTCGAAAGCGCTCGCAGATAATTAATAGAAGATATAAAGCTTCAAATCCTTTTTGTAGANTGTTTCATCATACTTTGTCAATGAGAATTTATTCTTGGGCAATAAAGTATATTTATCTATCTTTCTATCTAAGTATTCAAAGAGATATTACAAATTAAAGTTGACTCAGAAAAACGAACAGAATTTGTGAAACAACCCAATGAATATCCATCACAGAAACAAAATATTCTAGATGAAAGTACTCGAAAATAAGTAATTTTGTCATAATTCACCGGAACCTCTATCTCCTACCGGAGACTCGATTTTAAATAGCAATCGTCAATCATTCCTAAAAAAAAATATAATATTCAAAGTGTGGTGGAACGAATGGGTTGCCGAAGCTACATGAAAGAGAGACAGTAGTTATAAAATGTTTGTGAGGACTTCAAGCCTACAACACTGGGAACAATATAAACAAAATCGAAATGTAGCTGTACAAACAAAACGGCGCGAAAAAAAGCTTTATTATGAAAATGCAATTATGGAGAATAGCAGTAGGCCTAATGGTATGTGGAGAATATTGAAAGAAATGTTACCCAAAACCGAAAACACGTGTGTTTTAAAACAAATTAAAATTTCCGAATAGGAAACTGTCAAAGATATCTGTGGTATACCCAATGCTTTAAACAAATCTTATATCAATGGCATTAAGGACATAATTTGAAAATATTGACAAAAGTATACCATAATACCCTGTCATAACTCGGAATTATAACTCTCTATCGGAAGAATTTAGGATGTTTGATTACATGGAGTTGAAGAATATTATTTTTTCAATGCACAATAAAAGTAGTACCGACGACATTACTATGTTGTTCATTAAATATTGTTTTGATGATATTGCAGAACCGTTGCTCAACCTTGTTAATACTTCTCTAGAGACTAGTATGTTTCCAAATGAATTGAAAATAGCAACAATAATTCCACTGCCAAAGGTTTCTAATTCTAATAAAGATTCCGATTTAAGACCAATAAATATGCTAAGCTCGATTGAAAAAATCTTAGAAAAGGTAGTGTATGAACAATTGGCAAGATACATTGAAGATAACAACATAGTTAATAGTGTTCAATCTAGTTTTCGAAGCAAGCATAGTCGTTAAACAGCATATCAATGTGTTTTAAATGATTGAAAAAAAAGTATGGAAGAAAATAAACTAGTAGGTGCAGTAATCCTTGATCTACAGAGGGCTTTTGAGGCTGTAGATAGAAATAGATTACTGCTAAAGATGGAAAGTATCGGTATTGTGGGTAAAGCATTGAAATGGTTGGCAAATTATCTAGCTAATAGAAAACAAAAGTTGCTACTGAATAACATAGAATCCGACGAAATAGAAAATAAATTTGGGGTGCCACAAGATAGTATTCTCGGCCCTTTACTCTTCCTTATTTATTTAGATGTTATAGTAGGAGAAGCTGCAATGTGTGAAATCCACTTATTTGTAGACGACACCTTCATCTATTTTTGTTCCACAGACCATGGAATTTTGACGGAAACGATAAACTTCACAAAACATTGTATTCATAAATGGTGTTGCAGTAATTTACTTAAAATAAATGAAAATAAAATAAAATGTATGCTTATTGCAAGAGAAAACCAGATTAAAACACTGCCAAGCCAGAATTTGGAAATCAAACTATGCAGGAATCCAATCGAACGAGTGAAAAAATCAAATACTTAGGTATTATAGTTGACTATGCAAACTATATATTAAAAACTATTTCTTTAAAAGTCAACTTTATTCAGATATTCAAGATACCTCAATGCATGGACAAAAACGATGATATACAATAATATTATACTTCCCATTTGAATTATTGCTCCATTACTTTATACCTACCAAATTAACAGGTTCCAAAAACTACAAAACCGATCGATGCGTNGGGGGATAATATTTTCATACTGTAAATTGTCAATTCAAGAATAAAAACCGACCTGTTTCAGGTTTTATTCACATAATAACGCTAAAAATGAATTTATTCCATACATATGGACCGCACTGTATATTCCAAATGAAAATACTTGTACAATTCAACATATCAATTTATTCATACTGGATTCATAGACGGAATTTGTATCTTTCTAAACGCCTATTTCAGACCAACAGTCATAAAAATATTCTAACCAATCAAATATCTAATGGCACTTTTTATACATCCATCACAGAAACAATATTTTCTCAAGGTACCATTTTTGATGCAACGAGTTACCTCGGCGTACCTATCTAGTCGGCTTATGTCGCCGAGCAGCCGGAATTCATCAACTCCATTCCTCGAATGGACCTCCACGGTGGCCTCAAAAATCGCTTTGGGGTCTGTCGCAACTATCACCAAGAAGTATCGAACAGTTTCATTTCGGTCGTTGACGTAAGAATCGGACATGCCAGCTGATTTAATTTTCTTCACGGCAAAATTGGCGCAGAACCACTTTTCTTTGAAGGTGTTTTTTAATTTGTTGACCTCGTCAACGATAAACTCTCCGATCAATCTCACCAAAGTACCGTTGGAATTTACGTAGTGGTGTCCGTTGCAAGTGCACCAATGTTGGTCTATCGAGACGTCATGGCACGTTCGATTCTCTGGCAGTTCCTGGAATAGAGAGCGGCAATTCGGGCAACCATGACTTCTTGCGGCCACGTAGCTACTGTTACCGATTTCCAGGATGTCCTGGAAAGTGTTGAACACGTCATACGGTGTAGTTAGTCTCTCCGTATTCACTAGAAAGTTGCTGTACTTCTCTGGAAAACGCTTCCTGAAATCATCTGGAATATAAATATATATGAACGGAAGCCTTTCTTCCAGCCAACCCGAGTGGGTGTACCTAATATCCCCGAATCTGAAGCCGTGGTCGCTGAAAACCAGCACAATTGTGTTGTGCAAGGACGAGACTAGGTCACCGTCGCTCAAAAAACCCAGCACAGCTTCATCCATGGCAGAAGGTAGATTCACATTATCGTGGCTGAAGCTGTTCATCCAAAACAACCCGAAATTAGGCACTTGTTTAAAGCTAACAACGAAATCTTTGGCAATATTCAACATCCTTTCTGCAGAAGTCTCCGGTCCGGAACAGAACGTCATATCATACCTCTTCTTCGTAGGCAAAGTTTCCGATGCAAGAAAGTAGGGGTGGTAGTAGAAATCCGTGGGTGGATCTTGAAAACCTGGCCTGTCGTAATTGAATGTGCTGATGGCGCATTCGTCCTCGGCGTACGCTGTGGTGTACCCCGAGGCTCGGAACGCGTCCCAGACGAAGCGGCAGTGGTTCATTTTCACTTTCGTGGAGCAGAAAGTCTGCAGTTGCGCTACCGAGTATCCAGTCAGGAGGGCCATCAGATTAGGAAACGTGTTGTCGCCAATTTTGTTGTAGCCTTTCAGACTTATATAGTTTTGATTCAAGTATTGGTAAGTTTTTGGCATTGTACGTCTCAAATTCGATTTTGACATACTGTCTATGCCGACTAGTAATATACTGTATTTCTTCTCACTGGAAACGTCGGGCACCTTTCTTGGGGTCGGTAAAGTTGTGGCATGGACATTTGTGTAAACGTTTTTCAATATGTTGGAGCATACGACCTTGACGAACGGGAAAGTGAGGTTAACCTCTTTTTGGATTGGTGTGCATGGGGTGAGCCTGAAAAAATATTATATTCAGTATGGCACAGATATTCACTGACTTGAATATTCAAGCACTCAAGAAAGTGTGAAATATATGAATTTCCATTGTTAGACGAAAAGTTTGTTACTCAGCAATACCGCGAGAGCAAATAGCATGATGAAACCACGAGTTCATAGGACGATCAGTTTTATGTATTGCTGGTTGCTCGATTGCTAAAAATAACAATGTTTGAGTTGAAAAAATGAAAAGTTTATACATAATGAAAAATCTCGAGAGAGTCTGAATCTGTTAGGCCCGGTTCCATAATATCAGTCAAAAGCACACTTTACCGAAAGGCGCTTTTCTCAAAAGTCGGCTTTAAATGTCCCAGGTTTTCCATAATCGAATGTGAAGTCGCCTTTACTGAAAGTGCGGTTTTCTTGCATTGAATGATAGTTGGCATCACTGACCGTACATAAAGTGGGGTTGAATGTGTTTGTTTTGGTTCGTTTTCGCGCTTCGCTGTCTCTGGATTTTTAAGTACTTTGTTTCTTTTCATGTTGAAGGCTTCAGGCAGAAACAAACAAGGTTTCAAATACTGCGAAGGTGAGTTCATTCCAGTTTGTCAAGAATGTGACTGCTCATATAGAGTATTTTATGTAACATTAGATAGGTATAATTGCAGGAAATGGCATGGGTACGGATTTGCGCCTCAGTCAACACCAATACTTTACAATTCAGAGGTGTCGACCAACTAAAGTCAATGTATGACAACCTCAAAACGAAAACGAGGAAACAAGTGGCGAAAGAGAAAAAATATGAGAAGGGCACTGGTGGTGGATTCTTCATACCGAAGATGGACAAAAATGGTTGTAGGTCTCACAAACCCAAACGACGATGACAATGTGAGTAATTATTGAAACATCTTTGAATATATTCATGAAATATTTTTTTATTTAATATTTTTTATTTCAGGCAAATGAAACAATTTTGGAGAAGAAGTCATGGCAGAAACCATGAAGGACGAACTGGAATTGAAAAAAAAGATGTCAGGGAGCAGGAGATACACCAGTTGGAGAAGGAGAAAAAGAATATTGAAATTGAATTGTTAAAACTCGAGCTGTTACGAAGACAAATTCAGTAAATGTTTCAAAAATGATTCTTTATGAAACTTCATTTTTTCTATGTACAATTTCAATATGAATTATCTCTTCACAAATTTGCAAAATGATTGTTTATTATAAGCCTTTGCATGTTTCTGCCTCCGTTCAATACATTTTCATCATCTTGGTCTCCTCCTCCTTTTTCTTCTTGTTCTTCTTCAACTTCAATGTCTTCTTGAACAAGCCACTCATATAGAGGTTCATCGCTCCAATCAATAGCCATATTATGTAAAACCGCTGTTGCTATAATGACGGCCATAATTGTGTTAAGTTTGAGGCGCATTCCTAAGCTCAGAACTGGGAATCGTTTTTTCCACACACCATATTGTCTCTCCACAACATTTCTTGTTCTGATTATAGATTCATTGTATAAATGTTCTGCCTCATTCATGACCCTGCGCAACTTGGTCATCAAGTATGGTTCAAGATGATAACCGCTGTCTCCTATCAAAATATATGGCTCATACTCGTGACGCTCGAAGTCATTCTTCAAAATACTATTGTTTAAAATGGTTTGGTCATGAGCCGAGCCTGGCCAACGAGCGACAATGTTCTTTATTCTCAGGTTTGCATCGCTAACAGTTTGCACATTGAGTGCGAAGAAGTTTTTGCGAGACCTGAATATTTCAGCGTTGGCACCTCTGACAGAATCTATTCTAACCAGTGTGCAATTGCATGGCACCTATAACTCTGGGGAATCTTGCTATTCTATAAAATTTTTGAGCATCATTTTCCATCTCTTTCCTGGTAGATCTCATGTTTAAGTACCTTTTCTTTTGACCTGCTATCGCACATGCCACCTTTTTTACTATCCTATATGCGGAAGTTTATGAAATTCCCATGAAATCTCCCGCAGTTATTAGGAAGTTTCCCGTTGCAAAAAATCGGAGCGTTAATAGCAGCTGTTGCATCGGTTTAATAGCTCCTCCCCTGAAAATTTCAAATATGAAAATGGTATAGATGATATTTTATATCAAATCATCCTTGAACAATATATTATATATCATGGATGTAAATAGTGACATACCTATTGGTACGAGGTGCAAGAACGTTTTCTATTTGCTCCAATAATGAAACAACTGTATTTTTTCTTAGGCGAAACCTATCATAAAATTCTTTCTCACTATATACGTAGTCAGGTATGCTCCTCTTTTCCTGTAGACCTTCACTTTCCTCAAATCCACATAATTTTCATCCTCATCTTCATCTGAAGAAATCAACTCAAATCGACGATAATTCATTTTAATGCTCAGAAGAAACTGAAACTTATTGGAGGTTATGTTGGCAAAAAGCCTCCTTTTGCGAGCAAAAGTCGCGAAATCGACGCTTTAGCATAAAGGCCACTTTTACGTAAAGAAGCCTTTAAAAATCCATTATGGAACCGACTTTAAGCATAAAGACAACTTTAGCTCTTAAAGGTGACTTTAACATCGATTATGGACCAGGCCCTTAGATATGTTACTGATTTTATGAATTCATTGCATATTTTCAAATTAAGAATAATTGAGGTATTCAAATTGTTTAATATTTTTCCTGTACTTGATGTGGTGATGACGACTTCAGTGATGACAGCAGCAGCGATTCTGATCTCTCAGAATTTCAACCTTTATGATGATATAGAGTAACAGCAGATTTCAGTTAATTTTTTTTATTTTAAAATATCATTGTTCTAATAAAGCTTTCAATCCAAAAACATAAAATGGTTCATACGAACTAATTTGAATGTAATTATGAGAATGGTGATATGATACACTCATTCTGTAATCATTGGATAGTACCTATCTCAAGTATTCATTCATAGCAAGTAGGTATGATACCTAAAACGATTGGGTACTGAATATCTACGAAAGAGAATCTCAAATTCAGTCAGTGGTTTGGGTTTTCTACTACTTCGGACTTCCATTGTCTAATATGATTTGTAATCTCATTCAAACGTTTTGACCTATCCCCTCCTCCATCTCTCCGCTTCACATACATGCAGCTTCTTCGAACTTTCTCTTAAACCAGTGTTCCTCCCTGTGGATGTTCTCAGCTTGGTACCACTTGATGTATGTTGATGAGTCCTATTCCCGATTTGCTGGTTCCTCCTCACAGTGTGTTTCTCTTGTGTTCGGCAATGCGGACTTTCAATGTCCTCTTAGTTTCACCGATATAGGATTTGCCGCACTCACACCGGTAAATGCAATACTTGGAATCTCAGTCCGTGTTTGGTGGCCTAGTTTTCGTGAGCCTGCTACGGATGGAACGGCTGGCATTAGTTGTGATGGCTTCTCTTCCTTGTGAGGCTCTTGCTCTTGCACTAGAGACTAGAGTCTTGATGATTCCTCTTTTAGTCGTCGATTGATGGTGGTTGGATTCGTGGTTCAGATACTGTCTCGTATGAGTGGGTTTTCGGTATACAGATGTTTCTGACTTAGTGTCGGTACTCTTCACCAATACGTCTTGAATGGCAGTTCGTTCTCTATTGTGAAGGTGACGGATGGTTTCACACTGTTGACGTGTTCAGAAAGCTGTCTAGTTCTGTATTCCCATGGTTCCATACCAAAAAGGTGTCAACGTATCTCAACCAGACTCGGTACTTCTTGTGGGCTTCTTCAAAGGCCAGAGTTTCAAACTACTCCATATATATTAGCTATAACTGGTGAAAGTGGCAATCCCATTGGCAGTCCCTCATCTTACGTAAATAATTTGTCCTTCAGTTGGAAATAGCAGTTCCGTATACAGCATCCTAGTAATTCCATGATTACTTCTATAGGTAAGTTCGTTCTATCTTCCAGATCCTCGTCTCCAGATAGCTTCCTCTGTATGATTCGAAGTGCTCTTGCGGCAGGAACGTTGATGTATAGGCTTTCCACGTCGAAACTGATTAATTAATCTATAGCTCCGTAACTTCGATCTCTGGAACTAATGATGGGTCTGAGCGGAACACCGTTCTTGTGGATTTTGGGTAGACCATACAAGTGAGGGGTTTACCGTGGTGCGGTGTTGGCGATGCTCTCCTCTTTTCCAAAAAAGTAGACTTTGTGTTTTTTCAAAGTCTGGTACAACTTCCTTTCAATTGATGCGGCAGGGTCCCGTACAATTTTCGTGTATTGCCTCTTCTGAAGAACATATTCAATCTTCTGTTCGTCATATAAGAATCATATTAGACAATAGAAGTCCGAACTAGTGAAATTCACCACTTTCAAACATTTTTCGGTTCTTTCATAGGTTGAGGACCATTGGAGACATATCAGTACTCCGTGTGGAACGAAGCCCTGGATGGACCACTTTTCATTCTTTCCATAACGGTTAATGTCCCGGGTTATCCTGCCATTTCATGTGATAGCGCCGTAGGATGCTCCCGTTGCAAACGCTTTACAAAAGCTCATCGACGAGAGGTCAACCTTGCCTAACCCTTTCAGTGAGGCCCACGTAGCATTGACCATTCCTACAGTTACCACCGTGTGAGTGGCCATCGAGCTACTTCGATATTGATCAAAGCAAGGTCGTAGTGTACCTCAATACACCTATGCCCTAACTTTGACTCGCTGCTCGCGATCATCACTCTCCCACCTTTACACGTGAGAAGAGGCTAAACTCTTATTCCCAACTTGTGTATTGGCTTAAGGGTGGTTATATTACCCTCTCTACGGGGCAGTACTTTCAAGACCAACAATGCTTTCGCGCTTTATCATATTCGCTGTTATCGGAAAAGTACACGTTTCGTCTCTTTGGTGTTATAGACTCATCAAAAACTGCGCACTTCAAAACCATACAGTATTGTCGTATTTTAGCTTCAATGACTGGACTAATAGTGCAGGAAACTAAATTGAAACGGCTTGATAAACCGATGCCACACACGTTTTAAATTACCTTTTTATGTAAGTTGAAGGCCAAGGTCGCAATTTGTTTTGTATTGTCTATGGTTAGATGGGTATTTACACCTATATAAAAATTTAAACTTGATTTCGAATCGTCAAGATAGTTTGGTTTGAGTAAAATCTAACAAAGGTCATTATTATCAGTTGTTAGCTGGGGTTTCCGACTTCGCTCAGGAAGTTGATGTGAGTTTGTGTGGCAGTTCGAACAAAATGACAAACTTTGAATTATGAGAGGTCGTAGAATATTTCACAGCATTTTGAACTACTCTGGAACGTTTCACAATTATCCGGGATGTTTCCGAACTCTCCAAGACATTTCAGAATATCCTGGTATGTTCTAGAATATTCTGGATTATTCCAGAAACTTCACCAGAGTAACTTCCAGCCCATATACTTTCAAAAGCGCACCTTTCATGTTGAAACGAAAACTTCTAAAAATGCTTACTACACAATATGAATTCCCTGATCATTGCACAATGATTTGGAATGTTTCCAAAAGTTCCAGATCATTCCCAAGTATTCCACAGCATTCCGGAATGTCCCTGAATATTTTTAGGCTCATTCAGCTGGAATTTCTTCTAGTTGAGGAGCAATTGATTTTATTACAACCGTTAGAGGAAACTCCTGGCATTTGCTAACACATTTCCACCAAACTATCAACGGTATACAAAGGACTCTGGTGTTTGAGAGAGAAAACCATAGCCTGATACGTTGCTTCACTCCTCGATCTAAAATCCATTGAGAACAAGTCTACCTCTACCATGCCTCAGCATAGAACAGCAATTTTTCAAATGTCATTTGTCTTTAATGCAATCCGTTATAGTATTTCCAATACCAATTGGAACAGCACAGAGAAGGAATTCCCGCCTCTACATAGGCGTCGGCATATTATTTTTCAGTGGTAGTTTTTCAGTTACTTATTCTTACAATCATAGCAATTGATCACCCCATGAAATAGTTAACTCAACTGAGTTTTTCCACCATGGGTACATATTCGAAATTTAAGGTAGTTGATTTCCGAGTTTAAAACTCTGAAATACAATGAAAACACAAATAATCACACCGAATTCTCGTCANCCTTGTTAGCGAAACGCGCGTCGAGTGCAAAAATATCAGTTTGGTGTTAGGGTAATTGATCTCTAGAAAAAGTTTTCAAAAATCGGTTTCCAAAACCACCCACTACCTCACCTAACCCCACGAACACACGACACTGATAGAGAAATATTGTGAAACGGACAAGAAATTAGTATTCAGCCAGTCCAGCTAGCCGAGCCTTTATTCCTCAACTACATTTGATAGCACGTTTACTACTATCTGGGCGACTAGGGGCCACAGGCAAGAAATGTTTATGACTGTACTCTTATTTTTATTGCCGTTCCAATTGGGAATAATTAGACTATACCAATATGCTACCAGAAGAGTTACCAAAGCTCAAAATCTTGGAACACTGTTCCGAACTGTACACACCTCAGCAACTTCTGGTGCTTTATAAAGCTTAGATCAGACCTTCTTTGGAGTATTGTTCTCGTGTATGGAGCTCTACCTCTGAACATACCCTGAAGTTGCTGGATTTCATCCAGAGAAGAGCCATCCGCCTGACTGAAGACGCTAACATCAGTTGCAACCTTGATAGTCTGAAACATCGAAGAAAGGTTGGAGATTTGTTACTCTTCTAGATACACTTTCACGGAAAGGGTTCAAGTGACTTGGCACATTTGATTCCACCAAGAGAGGTACATATCAGAAATACACGACGGACTGTGGCTGCTCATCGTTTTGAGGTTCAACTCAGTATTCCTCTAACTTCACTGTTGAAGAACTCTTGTCATTTGGAGTGCAATAAACTTTCTGAGAACGTTTTTCCGAATGGATAATAATAATAATCGTCTTATTATTTTTTTTGTCTTTTTTTTGTCCTTACAATAAAACCCAACATTCGATTCGCTCAGTTTTCGGTAACCAGGTATGTATGACGTGAGAAATAACAAAGACAGAATACTTTATGAAACTTCTATCTATTGGAACTTACTTTATTTCATTGTCGACTGCCTTGACGTAATTAATTCTTGTTATGTTCGAATAACAACAAGTGATTTTCATTGAACTATACTCAGACAAAAGGCTCGAATTTATTCTTAACCGGACCATTCCATTACTTTTATCGATGTACGTCAATAGTCCCAATTTGGTACAAGGTTCATATTTTTCCTGGGAAATGTATTGTATAATATCTTCGCTGAACGGGTCGGCATCTGGTATTCGGCATTTGGAAGTATTTATTAAATAGTTGATATTTTGTGGTATTTGTGTCATTATCACTTGTCCTGAAAATATTTCAAAATTTAACTCAAGTGTTGCCTAAACTAAATATACAGGGTGTAACTAAATAAGTGTAAAACATTTAAGGAGGTGATTCCTCATCGAAAAAAAGATAGGATCTTTCATGTAAAGGAATTTCATTAGAGCATCCCTTTTGAAGATATAGCCCTTTAAAGGGGGTACATAAAATCTGTATAATAATTTTTTTCACAAGCACTGAAAAAGTTGCAATATTGAAATCAACCTGACGTTTTCTACTACCAAAAATACACTTAGCCAGTAATTTATTTGGTTTACCCCATGGTTGTAAGGGGTGGAAGATGCAACCCTTAAAATTTATTTCCAATGTAACTTTTTGTCTTATTATTTGTTTACCATTTAAGAATTTATTTCAGATAGCCTGTTTCATTCTAAACAAAAAATGTCTCTTGGGTTTTTTGCCCAAAATAAACCAGTTCGCAGCAAAAAATTGTTTTAGGAACAACTAAATCGTCATAAATGCGAAAATACGAAACTAATCTATCTAGAAGGTCGCTATTAGCGATAGTGACAATTAACTTGGTATACGCTGTTAGTTTGGGAATTTTCTAAATTGAATTAACACTAACTGTGTGTTGTTGTTCTGTTCTTAATTTGTTACTTTAATAATTCACTTGTTATTGAAATGGCATACACAAATGAGGAAATGGTTGATATGCATTACGTTTACGGTCTGTCGCAGGGGAATGGGTTAGAAGCTTCTAGAAGATATGCTGAAATGTATCCTCAACGGCAGCATCCTTCACATAGACTATTTGCTTGACTTCATCAACGATTACGCGAATATGGTTCATTCGACAAAAGAACGCAGGGTTGTGGTCGCCATCGAGAAGTACGAACACCACAGCTTGAGGAAGCAGTACTTAATTTGATTGAAGAACAACCTACTAACAGTACTAGAAAGATTGCTTTCCAGCTAAATGTTGATCATATGACGGTATTTCAATTTTAAAGGAACAACTCTTACACCCTTACCATCTACAACGAGTACAGGCACTGTTACCGCGAGACTTTCCGAACCGTCTCGAATTTTGCAATAGGATGCTGGAAATAATTAGAAGAAATTGTGACTTTCTGAAGACGATAGAATTCACAGACGAATGTAGTTTTTCTCGGGACAAGATTATTAATTTTCATAATTACCACATATGGGCTGATGAAAACCCTCACGCTATTGTCGAAACTAACCAACAAGAACAGTTTTCTCTTAACGTGTGGCTCGGAGTTATTGGGGATGATTCAATTGGGCCTCATTTTCTACCTCCTCGTTCTACCATACGTTCAATTTTTAAGAGAAGTGCCTCCAGTACTGCTGGAGGAAGTTCCTTTGGGCGTCAGAAGGGATATGTTTTTATGCATGATGGGGCTACCACCCATTTTAGTCAAGTAGCACATCAGCATTCAACTGAAACATATGCAAATCAGCGGATAGGTCGAGGAGGACCACAGAACTGGCCCGCTCGATCCCCGGATCTCAATCCTCTCGATTTCTCTATTTGGGGCCATTTACAGCATTTGGTTTATCGTACTCCTGTTCGCGATGTAGAGGACTCAAGAAACCGCATCATCGATGCGTGCAGGGTAATCAGAGAGACTCCAGGAATATTTGAGCGAATACGTGGCTCAATGCGCCGACGTTTAGATGCATGCGTAATGTCTGAAGGTAGACATATTGAACAATTACTACATGTTGTATGTTTTGTTATCAATAAATTAGTTTTGTTTATTACCCTTTAATCGTTTGATGCAGGTACTAACTACAAAATAACAATAAATCCAGTTCGCATTTATGACGATGTACTTCTGTAGTTGTTCGTAAATTAATTTTTTGCTGCGAACCCGTTTATTTTTGGCAAAAAACCCAAGAGACATTTTTAGTTTAGAATAAAACAGGCTTTCGGAAATACATTTTCAAATGGTAAACAAATAATAAAACAAAAAGTTACATTGGAAATAAATTTTAGGGGTTGCGTTTTCCACCCCTCACAATCATGGGGTAAACCAAATAAATTACTGGCTAAGTGTATTTTTGATAGTACGAAACGTCAGGTTAATTTCAATATTGTAACTTTTTCAGTGCTTGTGAAAAAAATTGTTATACAAATTTTATGTACCCCCTTTAAGGGGGTGTATCTTAAGAAGGGATGTTCCAATGAAGTTTCTTTATATGAAAGATCCTATCTTTTTTTCGATGAGGAATCACGTCCTTAAATGTTTTACACTTATTCAGTTACACCCTGTATAAAAACTTTGTAAAGTTTCTTTGTCTAAAAAACATTTCAAAATTGCATATATCGGTATACAAATTAATGTAACTTGGAAGGTGCTTCACAATGCTTCGTTTTCATTGCTGCAAGCACAATATCTGTTTTTATATTTGTGTGAGGTTATTGCCATAGGAGTTAAATTCGCTGTCAACAAACTCGCTTGCTATGTTCCGTATCTTGTAATCTGAACCCGTATTAGCAGTAAACAAACCATAAATCACGAATTCCACTTATACACAGACCAACACTCAATCCACATTATAAAATTGAAACAATTCCATTATCACTAGTACCAACAGGCACTACTATAACTACCCTGATATTTCCTTTGTCCTTGACGGAAGTTCTGACATCTTCTACGATATGCCATTCAACTGGTTCGATTTTAAACTCATAAAATAAAAATGTAAACTAAATACGCTTTGAGTTTAAAGAAAATAAACAGTTAGAAATGAGTTAGGTTGTTGTGATAACCATGAGCAATACGCAGCTGTTTCGATTGGAAAACAACTGTCAGTAGTCAGTAAAATAATAATAATGTTCAATGTTCATTCAACCAATTCAAAATAACCTTCAGAAAAACAATATAGACAAAATTAGAGAACTACAATATAGACAAAAATTTGAATACCTACATTATTGAGGTAAGAAGAGTTTGGTGAAATGAACGTAGAACGTAGGAAACCTCCAAAAGCTCGAGGAAGCTTGACTTTGATGAATTTCAGCTTAACATTTGCAATGATTTCAAGAGGGAACTTTAAAAAAAGCTCGAGAAATCTACACTGTTAGGTCTTATCCGTATTTACATATTGATTTTACATATTTTGTGGAAAAATAATGACATAAATTGTGTGTCTCTCAGAAGAAATCAACCATTTCTTTAGCTTCTTATTGAAAGGACGAGAATGCATGTAACTTCTCAGGGCTTCTGGGCTTCTGTTTATAAGTCGTGGTGCAATATACGCAAAGTATCTCTGTGCAATTGCTTTCCTAGCTCGCGGTAAGTGAATCTTATATTCATTTCTCGTATAGTGATATGATTTACAGTTTGTACCTACACTAAATTTTATATCGCTATAAAACAGTATGTTTTTTGCGTACAGCTTTGTGATATTTCCATTTCCATCCAAAGTTTTTTATCTTGTAAACGAATACAAGCATTGCCACAAACTCAATTGGTCGGTTCTTTGTGGTATGGAGAGAGACAAATCCCAGAAAGGATCAAAGGTTACTGATGAGGGTCCACAGTGTGTGCATTTCATCGGATTTCAATTGACCAACGAAATAATCTCAAATATGTGAGCCATGACTCTTGTGCATTTCCGTTGTCGCTCAATTTTTCGTCAATCTACGTTAAGATTGGTTTAGGTCTCTCATTAATTATATTAACGTCTTCATGTAAACCTTCTAAAAGATAACCAGGAAACTCCTATGTGTCTTGATGGGAATTACCCATGAATCGAGGAGCAAAACTTTGAATCAGATTTTTTTAAGGAGGCGTTATTTACTACTCTATCAAATGAATCTTCTGACCACAACTCCTCGATGACTTCCAATATTCCAATAAACATCTCGTGTTTGATAAACATTGGAATGAAGTTCTGGAACTGAACTGAATGTACGTCGGTTCAGGCAGACACTGACGTCATCACAGCAGTAAGGTTGCCTTAAAGTTCGCCCAGTCAATCAGAGTGTACCAAATTGTCACGTGGTGATCTGTCACCCAACTAGCTACGCGGTGAACCAACCAGAGTGTACCAAGTTATCACGTAACGCCCTCAAACTGTCACGCAGCTCGCCATCTTAACATCGTGGCGGGAGATTTGAATTTTCAGTGGACATGAATAATTCAAACAGATAACCAGTCAACGAGACAGACTACCCAGTCACGTGGCGTACTTACGTCAGCGTACCTTTTTTGCTCAACACATTTTTGCTTCACGACGTCATTAAAAAAGTTTTTGTTGGAGAATTGAACACAGGTCGTTGGTATGATAGACTTTATCGTTAGCCTTGACACAGCCATTAGATATTGAAAGCAATGGAGAACTGTTGATAACGACGGCTTCGGTCACTGCTTTTTGAATTGTTTTTACATTTGAATTATGATTTATGTTCAGTAAAACATATTTAGTTTTTGTTCGAAGTTATATCGAGAAAAACAACTATGGTAGAGTCGGAAGCGACTTATCAGTGTTTGGGGTGACGTTTGAGAGAAAACAATTCGAGCGTGCTTATGAGAACAAAATTGAGCAGCAACTTCTCAAATAATGATTCGGCGATTCTCCATAACAATGTGCTTCGCTTTTCATCGGTCCAGGGCCAGCGTCGTCATTCAAATCTTCTAGACCTCCTGTGAAAAGCTAGTACCACTTGTAAACATTTTTGTAACTCACCGTATGCCACTGTCAGCATTTCAAGTGTTTCTGAGCACTTAATTTCGTTTTTCACACAAAATTTGATACAAATTCTTTGATCCATTTTATTGATAGCAGCACATTAAACTTTTATGCCTCTCCTAAACCAACTAAACATGCTAAGTAGCTGTACCATCATTAAAAAATTAAAAAATCGCTAATAGAATCAATGCACCCCGCGAAATTTGAACTTCCATCTCATTTTTTGAAGGGATGGAAAACAGTTTGCGGGAATATGAGGGAGGTTGGCTGATACTTGTAAATCCAATCTGAGGTATTTAGGTTAGGTAAACTTTAATACGAGTTTCTACATTTGTTTTACACGATTTTTCAGTTTTCTCATGTTGGGTTACACTGACATGATCGACCACACACATTTTCCCTAAGAAATTTTCGAACATTTTCTGTCAAATTCAACTCACCTATCCGAATCATTTCAGTCTTCTGCCAATGACCTGTATGGGCCATATATAAAAAAATCACAGCAATGATAATCAAGATGAGGTATTTTTTCAAATGTCCTCCGGGAATCTGAAAAAAAGGGGAGAATAAGCTTATAATAAGACTTTAGCGGACTCTCATTTCAGTGATATCAAATATCACTTAAAACTTGAAAAATTACTGTGGAAATATTTCAAATAACTATCCAACGATACAAAACTTTTTTAATAATTTTGGAAATTCCTACATTATTTTGGTGCGTTATATGACATACCAGTTTTCTCATTTTGATATCCTTGAAATGATATGTGATATACACAAGAGCCGTTTTGCTTCCATTAATGTAACTTGAATTGCAGTGTTAACACAGCAGCGATAGCAAGCAAAGTGAACCAGTGAAAAATTGTAATTTAGAAATGTTTTCTTGTAATTGAAAATAAAAAAAAACAGAAATATCACAATTTGTACACATAAACATGAAAACTTTCATCAACAAAAGTTTTATTCCAATTTATAACTCATACGCACAAGCATTTACATTATTTATTAATTGGTTAGATGATGATAATCACATTAGTAACTTTTTTTAATAGTGATTGAGAAGTTAATTAAAATAACTGTGTGACAACGTTTTTAGAGTTTTATTGAACATTTTCGTAATGAGCGCGTAAATTTGTCTGATTACGACGAAATACATTCAAAAACCAGTGACGGCTCGTGCATTGGAGAACAGAGGAGGCTAAAGTCATAAAGACTATATACACACAAAGAAACCCCCCGGAGGCGCGAAAATTTTTTGGGGTTCCATACCTATTTAAAGCAAAATACGTAATATTTGCATAAATGCAAACAAAAATTGTGTATTGCCGGAAATTATACGTATAAAACTAACCATAACCAAGAAAAAAGGGTTGTCTTTGAGTTATATAATATAAATGAACCTTCTCAGTCAATAAATATATTCTATTCTAAAATCTCTTCTAATTAAACATTTCTGTTAAAAATTGCTATGAACGATTCAAAGTTGTGATGTACAGGTAGTTTCATCAATTTCCCATGCAAAAAAATTACACTCTCAATCTCCTTGCTTATATTTTCCTCAATAATATATGCCACACTGTCTATAAGCTCATTTTGGATGATTTTTGAGGTGCCCGAAAAAACGCTACCGTTTAAAAAAGTGCCAAATTGTGAATCACATTTGCCTCATAATATTAAAAGTTCCTTATAATTGCCGCGATTAATCGAATCTTCGATTTCATCGTGTCCGCGAAAAGCTGATTCTTGGGAACCCAAATTAATCGTAATATCGATAGGTCTTTCTAAATTCGACCGATTTTCCCTAACCTGGTTATTAAAAGAAATTATGGACTCTTTTGAGCTGTATCTAAAGCTGTTGCTAAATTTTGTTTGCTAAACAATTTCAATTTACAAGAAGAAAATTTATGCTCCTTAGATTTAAAATGTTTTTCTGTAGAAGGTGAATTTTTTAAATTGAAGTATCCTATTTTAGACCACGTTTGGTATTCGGTTTGTACGAAAAATGAAACAAGTGGCCAACAAAAATTGACGAGCCGCCGCTGTCAAAAACAATTTATTCAATTCCCATCTGAAAATCGTATGGAATCTTTTTACTAACCATGTCCACATCTAAATATTGTTCATTTCAATTCTTCAATTTTGCAATTCAGGTACGAACAAATATTTATGCAAGATCAAAATTATGCAAGATATCAAATTATCGCAGTTACAGGATACATAATTCGCAGTTTGGAATTTCCGGTTGATAACTAACAAATATGACCGAGAGCCTAGTTACATCTCAGTGAAAAATAAGCGCATTGAAATATAATTCAATTTTTTATATGGCATGGGTTATGTTGGCTTTGAGGACCGCTGTCGTTTATGATGGTCAGTTAACATTATTGAAGTTATCTCTTTACCGTTTTCTTATATGACTGTGATACCTTTTCCAAGTGTATTTAGACTCTCTTTCCCAGCTGCTTTAGTGGAACAGGAACTCTCAAATTGTTCCAAAGTAACAAACATATACAAACAATTTGTAACTAGCTTTGTGGATCCATTATCTATCCACCATTCTAATGGAATTGTTTCAAAGGAATTCACTTCGTTACTTGAACTCATGAGCGCTACTGTTGCAATATCATTTTTTTGAATTCTCTTCTTCGTTTTTTGTCGGTCGTCCATCTGCTGTTCTTTACATTTACAATAGTTGCAGATATCATCTTTCTGTGAGCACTTTTTCTTGAAAATTTTAGCTTTTCTTTCTGCTTTCCTGAAATTTCCACCTTAAGCAATGAGTGCTTCTTGTACTTCCTTATTCTTTTATATATCTGGTAAGAAATTTCTTTCGTACATACACAAATGTAACGCGAGCTCATCAAGAGGTTTGTCATCTTCTTTAGTCAGCCAACTGGATCTGGATGTTTCAAAAGTTTTGGGTAATACATGGAACATCAAATCTGGCAGACCTGGTTGATACTTTGTATTGAGTTCATTATTGAGTTCCTTCCACAAGCTCCGTAACTTTGCTATGCGAGTAGAAACATCATCCCCTGATGTCCAGACAGGAAAAAATCGGTACAGATTTTGAACAACTGATCTTTTGATGTAGCTTCAAACTGTTTTAGCGCTTCCCACGTTTTGTAGGCTGGTTCCTTATCCATGATCTTCTGATAAACTGAGTCACTTATTGCAGATGTTATCACTGACTTGGCATAATTGTTGGCATAACCTGGTCCTCATTGGTGAAGGTTCTACCAGAAATTCATTGAGAACAAACTCTGTACCAAATTCCTTGCCATTGAAATTGATAGTAACCTAAAATTCCATACACACAGGAAACAGGCTTTGGCCTGCTTTGCAGTGAGATCCGTGTCTGAGGAACTGGCTCTGCCAATGAGAAAGGTGACATATTTTTCTCCAATCGAATCACATTCGCGATATGTCATTGCATTTTGGGGTTATTGCAGCAAGTAATTGTTAGATTCTGTTTTCGTTCTGCAAAAAGAAGCAGTCAGATTCATTTCCAGAGCTAAATACACCGACCATTGTGAGCCGTTATTTATGAAACACAAAATTTTGACTCTAACTTACATGTTTACACTTGAAACTCTATGTTTGGAGCATAAGCACAATTCCAACGTCTCCGATACTGAGTGTACTCGAACAAGCCATAATACCCGTCAAATAACGAGAAAACTTACCTCTCCCCATCCTCCACTTAGAATTAACAATTAACGAAAAAATCAATAATGTATGAGAGCAAGAAGATATATAACAATTTGCCAACCGGTTTGAGAGAGGAAAAAGTCAAAAATAATACCATCAAATCCTCTTATACCTTACAGGAATTTTACGATGATGCTCTTTTTTGTATTGTGATAAATTTTTGCCTTTGTCAACTTATTTAATGTACGTTTCACAAACGCTTTTTCTTCCAGTTTGTGTCCGAAAGTTACTTCTTTGCATGATCTACACATCTTCATAAAAAGTTTATTTTGAAGACATTAGGCGATATCGGGTATAAACAAAAAATACCTATGATGTTTAACATGAGATAAATGTGATGAACATATATACCAAATGATTATCAAGAATTATTTGGGAAAAATATCGTCAGTTTACCTAACAATAATCATTAATGAACAAAAACATCATTTCCCGAGTTTCAACTAAAAAAAAAAAAACAGAATCACACGTTTTTTTATAGGCGTGCATTGCATTAGCTCAATGAAGTTTAGACTTACTTCTAGTAGGTGCATACTTCTACAGGATGTTTAGACTTAGAGACCCTTTTTATTAAAAAAATAACTCTGAAGATAAGGGGATCTAAACCACATAGATGATGTTACTTACAAAATTTGAGTCTATCCCGAAGGTTTTTCTGTCAGAAAATATCATGATTTTCAATAGGGATCTTTTTTCATTCCAAGTATCGAAATCAACCTGCCACACATAATTCCTGACATTTCCTATTCATGAATATATTTATAGAAAACGAAAACATGCGGATTGTTCCAACATTTTGCTAAAAGTAAGGCACTGGAGAGAAGTACTACACATCTTTACAAACCACCACACAAAACCACCGAATGGCAAATTGTGAATCTAGATTCGCTAGCGAACTGAACTGCAGACATCGTAAGGGTAAAACATCGAGCCGGTGTTGCCAGATGCTAAGAAATTTTATTGGATTTGGATAATTTGATTTTTCCAATATTTCCTGTCTATATTATAAGAAATCTAAAGAATAGTTATTAGGAACCAGTCACTGAAAAAGACCAAGATATCAAGGCTCTGAATTTGGATACCAGCCAATCCATTTCTATTAATTCTAAATTTATGTCTGTGTAGGTAGGTGGTGGCAGGGGGAGCAGACCTAACACTCCTTTTTGAAACTGGTGCAATCTTTCAAGCAATGAAAATACAGTTGACTCGCAATAGTCCGACACGCTCGGTGGTAGTCCGACGCTGCGCTAGTCTAGTCGGTCTTACCTTAACCTGTAAAACCAATTCATGTGTTATGATTTTAATATTGAATACATTTCTATTCTTTTGTAAAAACCAAAGCCTGACTTCATTGCATATTTTGAATGTTTTCTAGTCCCCGTGGGTTGGGCTACCTATCGGGCGCGACTCCAGGTGGCGAATAGGGGAATGGTCAGGGGACTGGAGGCCCTGCCCGGGAAGCCAATGTGGCCCTACGGACGGGGTCGCCGGACTCCTGGTCAGTGGCAGAAATAAGTAGGGTGAGGGGAACTGAAACTCCCCAAGAGCCTTTGCAAAACATGCCACCGTGGATCAGCCTAACCAAGCTAAGGTGTAAGGAATCGTGCTGACAGCTAAATGGCCGCAGGATGATATGCGGCCACGAACGATATCCTTGGGGAACCGGGCAAAACCTCATTGTATTCAGCCTACCTCTGGTAATGCGGGACTCTGCCAGAGGTAACCAACTCTTCCCTTGCTACTCGTGGGAACACACATAAATGAAACAAACACAAAAACAGAAACAACAAAAACCAATCCCGAGGCTGGGTAAAAGTGCTCACCTCAATCTAAGACGGTTGCTGGGGATGAAAAGAAATGTCCTCCCCAATCTATCGCTTGGAATGAGGCGGGACATAGCAGATCACCTCTTGATGTAATACCAAAGCCAAGGCGTGAGCGCATTTGCGGCGCTGAGGCCAGAAAGAGAGCGAAAGAGGCAGGAGTGGCAGCAACTCCTCCTCCCCCACTCCACCTCCAACATCAAGGGCACTTCCTGCTGCGGGCGCCAACAGCTTCGCCTTGAATAAAGGCAAGAAACCGGCTGCCCCTGCAGGAAAGCTCCCTCACTTGTGCACCTCCACGGAGGGAACTCCAAGAAGGTTGAAGTTCAGTCCATGATTTTCAATCATTTCTTCAGGCACAGATACATTTTTGTTAAATACATCTGCATTTTTTCGAGTTAAATTGTTTTTTTCCTCAGGCAGTCTAGGCTTTTTAGTTATTCTGGTTCGTTGTGCGGCAATGCAAGTCTCACCTTTAAGCTTTAGATTTATGAGGTCCATAATTTTCTTGGTACGTTCACTCATTATTAGGCCCTGTAATTATTGACGGTTGTAAGTAACAAAATAAGATTATTACCATTATTAATAAAAATTATTCTTTCGACCTTTAGGATCATTGACCCACACAGGACACTTCTGTATGTCACACTACAGTGTTACGCCGGAAAACATGCGTGTCTCACTTAGAAGAACAATGACACAGAGAATACTTAAGCCAGATAACATGAGTGTTATTCTGTCTGTCTGTCTGTTCAGACAGAATAACGACACAATGAACACTTACGTCAATGTTGCCTTGAAAATATGCGATAGAGTCATCAACTTTTTGTCATACACTACATATAGGTCACTATTCTACCGAAATCGTTAGGCCACTGTATGTGTCTATTGCACAACTGACTGTTAAGACGTTGTTCCTCTGAAGTAATTGGACGATCAGCTGATAATTCAACAGTGGCGCAACTACCTACAAGTGGCTAAGACTTGTACTACATTTACGACGACGTTCCTTCGAGTGGGGGTGAAGTATCTGAACTTCTCTATGCACCTAAGTCCATTTCGCAAAATTTTGCAGTTACGTTATGAGATCACCATGTCCTCAAATCCAGTATGACATGAGTTGTGTCATACGTAGCGCCGTCCTGTTGAAACTACATGTCGTTGGTGTCCAGATAATCCAATTCAGGTCAAAAGAAGTATGTAATCATCGACCTATAGTGGTTGCCGGTGACAGTGATGACCTGGACAACGTTGTTCTCCAAGAAATATAGAGCGAAGATGCCGCCAGCTCAAAATCCATACCAAACACTGACTTTTTCGGGATGCATTGGACACTCATGTCGTGTATATTGCTCCGGAGCTACTGGTGCAGTCCCAAGTCAGGAGGCAAAATTCTCCAAGTTGTCTGCGAAAGGCCAAGTTCTTGTGAGTGACACGAAATCGACCGCCTCGGTTTCTCCTGCACACTCTCACAGACAGCCGTGAAGTTTTCGCCAGATCATGTTTTTCGTCGTTGGCTGATCGTTAACTGAACCAGTGGACTTCCTCTCGGTAGGACGATTATGAGTAAAGCGCGGTACGTTACCCGAACAAAACACTCATTCTGATAAAATAATTTTATTATTTGTACGTGTTATTGAGTGATATATTCGTACATGGCGATTTGGCAAAGCAGACTGCGTTATATTATGCGTTTTTTGGAAAGAAGTATTCTGAATTGAAAAAAATAAATGTGAGTGAGAACATGAAAAAGCAATCCGTGATGACATTATGAACTTTGAGGTCAGCTCCATTTGATAATTCCAATTGATTTTTTACGAAATGTAGCAAACAAATGATAAAAAAAAACAGTGACTATGTTTCTCACTTTCATGTGTTTACTATTGTGATAGGCAACATTTCAGTTATTTCATAGTTTGTAACGACTTTCTCATTTTTTGGCAAATAATATCTGGCAACGCTGCATCGGGTACGTTCAAGTTTGTGTGAGGGCAGAATGCAGAACCAAAATTGCTCGAACGCGCTTGCGTTGAACGCAAAATAAAATGAGAAAGAGGGCGGCATTACTCACATCCAGTGGTGGAGAGGTCTTGGGGGCTGAAGGGATTTTCTTCGACAGACCGGTGTTGAATGATTCATTTATTTTTGGGAATGAAAGGTTTCGGCTTTTTATTTCTCCATCTTTAGTATTTTATTTCATTGTGTGCAGTAAATCAACTTACCCTTCACTCAATAGGGATCGGTAAATCGAACAATACGTTTTTTGATACGGTGTCCCCGCCATTATACATAAAAGGACAAAACAAAATATACGTATATACAAGAACGAACAAGAAAAATATACACAGTAGCAAATCACACTTTTGTATTTAAAAACTCGTCAAGAGTATAAAAACATCTTTCTAAAAGAAATGATTTCAATTATTTTTAAAAAACGAAAGGCTGCATATTGACTTCAATCTTTTTAGTAAACAGTTGTAAATTCTAGGTCCTATACGTTTCGGTGCACTTATCTTATACTTAGCCGCCCCAACGTGTATCATTTGCTTTTGCTGAGAGATGTTATCATCATGCATATCACTATTGAGAATAAAGTCATTCCTGTTAGTGAAAACATAAACTGACAACTCATAAATATACATTGAAGTTCTTTAATGCCCCCCCTTTTTTTATTGAACGGGTCAACTCAAAAAATTGAAATTTGGGATAATAAAATTAATCTAAAAGAACAATTCGTTCAGGCCAGTCTCAACACCCTACACAGTAGGTTAATGGACTGACACCTATCAGAAAACAACTACTCCCCTGGCTAATACCACGAAAGGCGTTGGATTATATCCGACAGGTGTCAGTGCATAAACCCTTCATCACTTGAAAGGATCGATCGCAGCTTGAGAAATGGTTCTGCTGCATATTCTGTGAAACATGTTCTTCCTTACTAATCAATAGACAGTCGTCCCAAAAATCTTGCGGAGAAAATTGGATTGGATAATATAGGAAACACAAGTGTTGTTCACGTCGAAAAATTTCAAGAACGAGGTTATAACAATGAACGAGAACGAGAATGTTTCCTACTTATTTACCAAACTAAAACACCTGTTCATGCAGCTGCAGTTTCGTAAGAATGTATCATCTTTCCCTCCAACCAATTTCCTGGAGTCTTTGAAGTACACTAGATACTTATTGAGACAACAAGAGGATTGTTCCGAGTTCTTGGGGTCCTTGTTGAATACTCGTGAGCAGAAAAATAGCAGAATCAATACTTCTGACTGCTCTGGATTGAATGATTCCGTACAGTCTATCTCGTCTTGTGTTTGTAGGTATTTTCATGAAAAAATCCTCATTTTGTAGTTTACTTTGTAGTACATGTTCAAGAGGTAGCAAACACGTATGTGACTTTCTAGAACTTCAACTAGGGTTTCTTAATATGACTGATAACCAGTCCGTGTAAAGCTTTTTGTTGAATCATCGGAAAATAGAACTTCTAACAGGTGATGGTCAACCGTATTGCCGAATATGCGCCAAACTATTATTCTTTCGAATAATTTATTAGTTTTTCGACTTTATCTCACCGTAAAAAATTCTCCTCTAATTTTTTCTCAACTCGACCTTTCGACGACCCAAAACCACCGACTGACACCTCTCAACTTCCCATCAACCCACTCTACCGCGTTCCATTTCCCGCGACGCATTTTTCCCTAAGTCAGCTGATATTTTCTTTCTTAAAATCAAATGGCGCATACATCCAATCAGAAAATTCAATTCTATCACTTAGGTCTTTCGGTCGCTTCGTGATTCGTTAAGTATTTCGGCCATCTTTAATTTGTTTTTAGCATACCGTTCCCAGCTTATCGCTGACTTTTCAAAAAACCCAACTGTGTTTCATAAACAAAGTGTCTCCAGCTATCAATAATAATGAGTTTTTTTTTCTGGCCCTTACAAAGTAACTATGAATAAACCCACTGTATCTTGTGGTTAAGAAATATGCCTTTAGCACGTACAAATCGTATATACATTCGTTCAGTAAGATATAGTTTTCTTTTGTAAATCTTCCAATATTTCACGATTCCCCATGAACTTCAATTTTTCATATTTA